TCTTTGACTAAGATTTGTTCACGTTCAACTTCTGCTTCTTCCAAAGCAATCTTCATAACATCGACATTTTTCGGTGGTAATTCGCCATTATCATAGAATTTCAGACGATCAGATACCTGCTGTTTCAAATGATCACCAAACACAGAAGTCGGAATGTCTACAAGAAGCAAACATAAGATTTACCATTAATTTGGCAGACAAGCAAACCTGAAAAACAATCAATTCGGGACGCAATTGCACATTTATTTGCCAGATATCGAGATATGCGGCCCTTATTTTGTGTATTTGCTTTACCAATATGTGATGAATGGTAAATAAGACCATACTTTGGCGTGTTGCCTTTCGTTTTCAAGGCCCTAAACGAATCGACAAAAGTTTCACTTCAGTCAATACAATTTTGTCGAATATTTTACCGAAAAAGCGCCTTTTCAGCACCTAAGATTTGAATGGTCGACGCAGGATACTTCGCAAGATTGGTTAAACTACCAGCATGAGCAATGAGACGTGCACCGACCTATAAAATATTGTATGAGAGGAAAAAAGCTGACTGTCAGCACTTACTTGTTCGCCAATCAACATTGCTAGATTTGGCGCAACTTGTCCCATTTTGCTTTTCAGATACTAAACAAAAGGAGTTAACGAAACTTGTCAACATCGAAATACATACTTCTTGTAAACTTTTTCGGTAGTCGAATAAATGAATGACACGATTTGCAAATGATTCGATGTTGATCAAATCAATCGGTGAAATATCCATTCCTAAAATATTCTCTCAAACTCTGATATAAATTACACTTTATATAACATACCGATCGTTGTTTTCATTGCCTCGAAGACTGCTGCTGTTTTTCCGCTATCCATAGTGATTGTTTCTAACTCTTCCTGACGATCAATGGAGAAATCTTTTCGATTTTTGATTAAATGTACAACACGTGCGTATGTGTAATTGTCGGTGATGATTTTGATCAATTCAGGAAAATGATAGCCATACCATTCTCTAAAGTCTGTGGTAAAGGCACGAAAGAATTCTCTTGTGAAGGACTTTTCCGTACCGGATGCGCATGGAGAACGTATTGATATCTTTATCGAGCTGGTCGAGTAATGCAATGGACTGAATGATCATATTATCGACACGATTTACATTGAATTTGACTTTTGCACGAGAATATGCATGACCTAAACCAAGTTGAGCTTTGCTTTGATTCTGATCGGTTAAACCCTTGACCAAATTTGGGAAATGCAGTCGAAGACCTTGAAAAACAAACATGATTCACGATTCATTTTCAGCTATCTTAATTGTACCTCGTAGGAGTTCGGGTACAACTCCCGTATGTTGACAAGTAATTGAAAAGAGTTCATTAATACTTGATGCGACGCGTGAATCAGCAACGCCGAGAATCATTTTTGCACGTTTCTTCTCTTTGGGAAGATTTGTATCGAGAAATGTCCGTAGATCATCATGGACTAAACCTTCAGAAACGGAATTGATGTTGTCCAATGCATTGATACCAGATTGAAACGGATGAAACGCAACCAGTTTAACAACAGTTGCGAATTTCGATAAATCAACGACACTTGCTTCGACTTGCGGAATGTTCATACCAATCTCTTCGAACTCCCGAACTCGGAATAGTGCGTAGCCCGATGCATGCTCGAAAAGAATGTATAATTTTGACTAAAGAATCGAAAGAGAATTATAGTCAAGATCGCAAAAAATCATTTTTCTTACCATATCTTCCTCTCACGGCTGTTCGATCAAAATACAAGTATGAATGACGATGAGCACAGAATTGTTTTATTCATTCATCCATCAATCGCGTACAACGGGAAGTGAGAGGGCGTTGCGTATCGACAATTCGAGTATATGTTCAAAAATTATTCCAGATGAAGACTATAGAGGCCGCTGTCTTTCGCCAGGTAAACGAACACATGCCTATATTGACGGTACTACGAACGAGCGAATCATTTCAAAGATAGAATCATTCATTTTTTATTTGTTCTGTTTAACATCATCTATTTCAGTTTGTTGTTCGTCCATTTGCGGCTTTTATCTACTAGATTTTATTCGGCTGTTTTCAACTTCGAAATATTATGACACAACCGGTGCCTCCTAGAGTGAGATTTCGTGTTATCCGTCTAGAATGATCGAAAATGTGATTGTTTTAGACATCTGCTCACAAACCGTACCTTGACGCCATCCGTGCGACACTTCAAGCGGCATTTTGTATTGAAAATTTCGAATCCCAAGTTGTCGAACGACATAATAAACCTGAAGTTGAAGTGAAGTATGTTATCGATCGAATTATCTCAAGAAATCAATGAATAAATTCATTCTAGATCTTCGAAACAATTACTACTCAATCCAGTTGTGATTAGTCGTAATCAAAATGAACGAATTCTTATTGAAGGTTCTGTGAATTCCGTCCGAATAAGTATCGCTGTGAAACAAGTAAAAATTCTCATTGAAGCTTCGATTCCGTAAACTTTTGCGCTCATTCATAGGCGGATGATCTTGAGAAGATCCTATGCAAACGTTTAATGCGTTTTATGATGCAACGAGCTGATGATTTTCATATCCTTCGACGTAAACCCATTCCTGTACGTAAACCATTCTTCCAAAAGAAATTCTTTTACGTTCTTTTGATATAGGAATATGATATTAGTTTTTTAATTACGAATTTCCATGCTGAAACCATGTACAAACATCGTTTGGTTGATTTCATAATCTATTTTCTCGAAGAAATCGACAAAGAAATCAGCGAAATGAAGCTAGCAGTTAGCTCACGTGCTCGAATGTGTGCCGAAGAATTTTTGAAAAAATTCAACTAGACAAACAATTCAGTACTTATGAATAAAATAGCTACGCTTTGATAATGTATATCTATCGATAGAGAAGAAAAACATTTGTCTTTTCGTTGAACGCTATTGGTTTTTATATGAAATGATTGTATTTGGTGATCTTTTTTTTTCCTCTTCGTCTCTACCTTCTTGTTATCGATGGCCATTCTCTTCTTTTGCTTTTAATATATACATGTATCCATCAAACATCATCTACATTTATACATTCAGTTTTTTATTTCAAAACACAAAAATATATTCCGATCAATTCTTGACAAAAAGAAAACAAATTTCAGCTGTATCTGTACTAAACTCAACACTGTCATATGCACTCAAAGTCGTCTCGAACCCAATACTCTTGTGAACCTTGTTCTTCGAACGTTGCATCAGGGTATTGCGAAAGAACAGAAAGTAAAGAACGCAAAATGACGTCAGTGCTCCATTAGAACTCGATGCCATATATACAGAGCGACATACATTCTACGTCAGACAAAATGAGCTTGATGATAAGAACTACAAATCTAGTATTCTATAATTCTTGTTTAACGTCCACAACAGCGAAATATGTTTCGCAATTGGCTGGTATTCAACCACGTGGCTTACTTCATACAAGTTCGTCGTTAATGAACGAAGAGAAGGAACACCGTCAGTCGTTGGAAATAAAACGTAAGCGGAAAGTGTGAAATGATGCTACGGCTAGACAGAAAACAATTTCGAAATTGTATAGAACTGAAAGATTACATGATGCATCATGAGATATATTCGGAGAAGGAACTACAAAACGTCACAACGACTCATAAAAAACTCAAATCATGGCATGATCGAGTAGCTTATGCAGCCGTTCGTACATTACGTTTAGTCTTCGATACCTTCACGGGTTATCTGCATGGACCGACGATGGCAAAATTAGGTTATCAAAATCCTTCGATGACAGAAGAACAGTGGCTGAGACGTTTCATTTTCCTTGAAACAGTTGCTGGCGTGCCCGGCATGGTTGGTGGAATGACTCGTCATATGAAATCACTCCGTAAGCATAATTCAACAAGGAATTGAATAACAGTCTCAATATTTCAAGGTACAATGCGTCGTGATTATGGATGGATTCATACATTATTATCTGAAGCCGAAAATGAACGAATGCATCTGCTGACATTTCTGGAATTACGACAGCCAGGCTGGATATTTCGTAGTTTTGTTCTTTTGGGCCAAGGTGTATTCTTCAAGTGAGCAATTCTTCTTTTCGAACGAACTAGTTTGATTATAAATTCCTTGTTTAGTGCTTTCTTTTTATCTTATCTTCTCTCTCCGAAAACTTGTCATCGATTTGTTGGCTTTTTGGAAGAAGAAGCAGTGGTCACGTATACCCGATGTCTGAAAGATCTCGATGCTGGTAAGCTGCCAGCTTGGACTAATCTACCAGCACCGACAATAGCTAGAAATTATTGGAAGTTATCGGATAAGGCAATGCTAAGAGATGTCTTATTAGCTATCCGTGCCGACGAAGCAACGCATCGACAGTATGTATCCATGTTTATCATGCGTAATAAAATTTCTCGAATGATTTTATGTTTTGCAGAGTTAATCATAAACTAGCTGATGTCGGACCAAATGCACCGAATCCATTTTTGGTTGAAGAAAATCAAATACCGCCTCCACCTAGTTTAGATGAACAACGAACAATCGATACAGCAAATAAAAACTAAGCATTTCTCGTGCGTTTTGACCGTTTTCTGTTTGTAAAATACGCCCAACAGAATAATTTCCGATGAAGAGCAAATCTTTGTTTACTTACCGACTATCAAGCACTGACACGTGCTGTTATGACAAATGTTATAGAGTCGTTTAAGGCGCAAGACAATCAATGTATACAAAATGACGCGAATAGTCACTCGGGGTGTGTGTAGTGCACTTCATTTTTCTTCTTCATTTTCAAATCATTGATACACATCATTGATTTTTCGCTACTTAAATTATCTAATACGACGCAATAGGAAAGACATGCGTCCTTTTTCGTAATTTTTACTCAATAATCGTCATTTTTCATATAAACTTTAAGAATCAAGGTATACGAAGACGTACGTAATCAAGACATGTACTCTTTGTCTCTATGCGGAGAAGAATCGAGAAGCTTTTTCAAACTTTTTCTTGGTCGAACCTCCGCGTACACGTCTCTTCTCTCATGATCGTATATAAACCTGCGAAAAAATCAGTTGGCTTCATTCTCTGATCTACACTTTTACATACTCATTCAAATCAAACGATGGAAAAAATTACTGACGCATGCAAAGCCGGTGTCGAAAAAGTCAAAGAAGCTGTATCCGGATCCAGCAAGGAAGCTAACAAAGAAATCGCCAAAGATTCGAATCTTAGTGTAGGCACTCGTGCTGAAGCTGCTGTCGACGCTGTCGGTTAGTAGGAGAAATACTTTTAATTTAAAGCACGATACATTCTATTGCTGAATTTAGGTGACAAAATTGATGAAACTAAACATGCGGCTAAGTCTGAAGCACACAAACAACAAGCAATTCATTAAACATATTCATTATACGATTATGTACCATAGATAATCACAAATACGAACAGTTTTCTCAGTTGTTTTTGTATCAATTCATACTAACAGAAATAATAAAAAATAGAAAAAACAAACAACATCAAAATACTTCATTATCGTAACCATTAATCTAGCACTAGTAGAAGTAGAAATAGCAAGGTTAGATATACCGATTTACCAGTAGTATAACTAAACATGCGTATATTAGTTATTTCGTCATATTTTCTACCTCACCGTATTACAACTCACTTTTTTATTTTTATGAATACAAACATCGATAAAAGCCACAGGTAATGCTGTGAAAAGTGTCGTTTATTTTTCATGTCAAATGTTATTCTCTACTACAAAAATGATGTTCTCAATCAATTTGTTGATTTATCTTGACCGTACTTTTGAGATTGATATTTGTTTTCATTGTTGAGGATGCTTTGTATCAAGACAAAATCTGTGAAAAGATTAATAGTGGCTGACGTTCGTGGTAGAACAAGAATTTTTGTCGATGACGATCCTTCGAGTAATTTCAAACCTTGTTTTGTCAACGAACTTTTGATGAAGACAGGAGCTTCATAGACACATTTAGTTAACTGATTTCGTACAGAGCCAGTGACAAGCAGAAGATCTTCATGCAATTGAATGATATCATTCGTTGTACACGTTCCCTCAGTGTAAATAAGTAAACCAGAATGTAATAATCGTTTATTAATCATCGTAAGATGTTTATCAGATTTTCTTGTAGATGAGTGTTGAAATGATGAAATATTCGGTAGAATACGCAGAGCCAAATGAATACCTATGAAAAATCAATGGTAGGTGTAGAGCTAGATGGTAAAATGTACTTGTTTCTAGCCAAATGATATCCCACAATGCATATGTGTTAAAAATCTGAAGTAGTTTTTGTTTTGAAAGAAAGAATGCAGTAACATTCGTGACACATTTTGCTGTTGATTCGTGTTTTTCACCATTGTTGAACAATAGATCGTAGAGACCAATGCAATGACCCGAACGAGATGAATAACGGCGATGGACTCGTTCACTTGTCGCTGGATGCATTTGCCGGTATTTTTCAAATGTTTCGTCAAAGTATTCATCGAAGTTCTCATCATTTTGATTCGGATGATAATATTGATGAATACCATCGTCCGTGGGAATCAGTTTGCCGGTGAACTTGTCATCAATGGGATTTATCATACGATGATACCATCGAATATAGAATCCGTCTTCGAATGAAATGCGAACATGTTCGATTGGCGAAGAACGAATTGGTTCACTCGATGATGTGATTCCATCGGTAGAATTTTTCTCGTAAGTTCTGAGTATAAGTAAACTGATGCAAAAAGAAACGAAAAACATGTTGATCATACTTCGTAGAATCTACGCCATCGATAGACGATACGGATCGCTCTTGAGGACGTAAATCGGAAACAATACTATTCATATTTCGTGTTGATGTTGAACCTAAAAGTGATTGTTTGGCTCAACGAATATGTCAACTATGATTACCGATGTATTTGCTTTTGGATCTGATGAGACCGTAGGGTTTTAGGATCTGTTGTGTTGGGAGAGTAGTTCTCCGTGTCCGATGATTTTCTTTCCATCGGACTTCACTATGAGCTGCATCGATATCATACGGATCAAGTTTCCATTCCTCGACAATTCCATTGACTAATAAATAAACTCCATTGAGTTGGTCATTTTTATGCCATAGAAAATCTTGCCAAGAGAAACTTTGCGGATGTAAGAGAGTTTCATTCTCAAAACGTGCTGTATTTTCATTGGGAAGCGCATGAATCAGTAATTGTTCAATGTCATGTTTTTGATCATCGGTTAAGCGTTGATTAGAGTAAAGCCAAGAGAATTTTTGAATGACAACCATCGGCGAAACAGATGGCATTGTCGATGGGATGTGTAATTGAATACGCATGTTTTTCAGTGATTGTTCAAGCAGATCACAATCATCAGTATCAAGAACTCCTCGGATGCGTATTTGACTAATACCTCGCTTAGCAGTATTGTATAACAAATTGATCGTATGGTGTGTTTTGATGCTTATTACCGTTCCAGGATGAGCTTCCTGCATAAGAAGAACATCGTTTAAGACACTTTTAATATGTTGAAGCGATAATTCATGGATACGGATTCGGATACTTTCTGAAAACTTCAGATGCAGTGCGAACGTCCAAGAAAGAGTTTTCTTACCATTATCTGTCAATCGATGTATAATTCGTAGCACTTGTTCCTCGGATGATATGTACGCTAAGCCAATATCATAACTAACACTGATATATTGATTGAGAATATAATCGACTAGTAATTGAAGTGGTTCAATAAGAAAGAAACATAGAATAAAACATTCGATTAAACTTAAACTTTTAAAAATATAAAAACTCAAACATAATTGACTAGTTGATCGTATTCTAATCATAATGAAATGAATAATACAGCTGATACAACGACAGGCAACACTAAACATATATAGGATCATCCAAATTAGATTGGAAACAAATAATTTGCGTTTTTGATGGTAAGAAAACCAAAAATAGAATTGAATAGAATCAAAGAACACAAGTAAACTGGAAACGATCTCTAATGTGATGTACAACGGTGATAACATGCTTTCGAATGATCTGTTGCAAGGATTTGTATGAATTTGGTAGGTAAGGATTGTACATTCGATCAAAATGATAAGAATTGTAAGAAATAAGCAATGAAACAATTTCGTGAAACAACGTCGAGTTGTCGGAGATTGATTTTGGAAATAATCATGCCAAGATAAGGACTTTTGCCATTGTCGTGTGCTTGTTCGTATAAAATTCAATATCGAGCGTATTCGACTTTTACCGACAATGTGCGCTTTGATAGTTTTGAGATCTATAAACGCTTTTGGTGTATCAATCGCTCGATCACATAGAGCATTTAATGTGTGAAGTCCATAAGATGACAACTGTCCATTGTAATAATTCGACCAGAAGTGTGTTTTTTGCAATCTGAAGCAAGAAATTTCTCGTATTAAATGACTTGAGGGTAACAAACCTTAAAATTCGGATTCGACAGTCTTCGAATGTTTGTCGAAATTCTGATTTTGATATTGGAATTGTGACGTATGCTTGGCAATGATCACATTCGACTGTATCAATGTGGTGTTTTGATGGTAAATTTTCTTTGATCCTGTCCTCTTTATTTTCGTCAAATGGTGATCGAATATCAATTGCCTTCTGTACAAACATCCAGTCCGCTGTTGCTAAAATCGGATTCTTTTTCAGCGATCGAATCATGTCATTCTGTTTCATTTTCAATTCTTTTATTATCTGCATCATTGTCTGTTTAATCAATTCAGATGTTCGATCCAATCGTAGAATATGTACAATCTTCGGTATCGTCAGTGCATTGACTGAGATATGAGAAAAACAACATCGTAAAAGTACGCCATCGTTTTGTATGTAGACAATCATTGCATTTACCTGTACAAGTTAGGAAGACGACGGCTGTTGTATGTATCAGCATGATTTCTGCTTGGTAGTTTTCCTTGATTCGACTATTGAAAAGTGTTAATGCGAGAACCAAACTTACACCGCCACGTAGGCCAGACCAAATTGTGACAATAGAATCCTTCCATGTAAACCCATAGGCGATTTGTTTCAATAGAAAATGAGTGCATAAAATCATAATTGCGCGGACTGATATCAGTATGATGTAAATCAATAGTAGTTGTGGCAAGGAACTTAACAATGATAACATCTTATCACTTCCGCTGTGTGTTTTCAGTAAAATGACACCAACAGTAATGAAAATCAATGAGTTTGCTACATAAGCAAGTAATTGCCATGTTTGCTCTGATATCGTTACGGCCGAAACACTAAAACAAGCACGATTCATGTTTAGTGTTAAACCGAGTAGCACAACACCGATGACACCTGACGCTTCTATGGCTTCACATGTTAGATAAACAAAATACGACATGATGATCGTAATACATGTTTCTAATTCACCAGCATCAATGCGATAGAGAATGCATATAGTTATATGTGCCATGATGTAGCCTGAATGAAATAGAAAGTAATTAGGATGGAAATGATGGATCGATGCTAACCAATTAAGATCGCTGCAGCAATGGTTTTCAGTACGAATTTTAGTAGATAGATGGGAGTAATCTTCCGTTTTATTAGGAATCTGACTGCATGTGCACATTTTTCAGAATTAACACCAAGTAGAGTTGCACGTGTTTGTTGCAGAACGTATTTGTCAGATTTCACAGCTTCGTGAATCAAATCTTTGATTAAGGTATAAATCGTAATCGCCGCAGCATCGTTTAACAACTGAAAACGAATATAGAGGTTCTCGGCAAACAAGTTCACTTACAGATTCTCCTTCAATTACAGTTGATAATGTTTTCAACGATGTCATTGATTTTAACAGACTAACGACGGATACGGGATCAGTTGCTGACACTACTGCGGAGTACAAAACAGCTTGATCCCATGTCCAGCATGTTTGGACATCGATTTGATGTTCGTTCTCATACCAATACATCACAGCTAAAGTCGTCAATGCCACAGAAATTAAGAAACCTACGTAAAAGTCTATATGGAATTTGAAGATGATTAATACATTTCACATGCCGAGAATGGCTAGTATGAGAATTTGTCCGAGACACTTGATGAAAATATGTGGATCACAAGAAAAAGCACTTTCAAAGATCAGAATTGGTAAAAAGATAGCAAGAATTTGAACAGGTGTTAAATCAGCAATGAAGGTGAGTCGTTTGATAAGTTCGTACTGGTAAAAAGCACCAAGAACAGCACCAACGAGCATTAAGACAACTGTATATGGAAGAGACAGGTTATAGTGCCTGAAAACAATTATGACTGACATTTATCAGACGATAGGCAAAACCAACCTGAAGATTTTTCGAAGAATAGTAGCAAAGAAAAGGACAAGGAACGGATAGATGAATTCTGGTCCAATTCCATGTGTAATAGTCGAAGAGATTTTATCACAAGGCGTAGCGACAGACATGTTTTGTTCAATTAAAGATGCCGTTTATTCAATGAGTCAGTCAGCGCCATTTAATCAGCTGTTTATCAAATCAAGACTGGTTCTTGTTTTTCTTTTTGGCAATTCTTGTTTATTTATATTTTAAAAAAAGGAACAAAATGGTACTTTGTATACATGAGAAGAAAAAAGTAACTATTTCGCACATAAACCGGTTCGAACTTCTTTGCAATACACACTGTTCTTTCTTAATCAATTTGCAGCAGCTAGTATTTGTTCTGGCGAATGTCCATCAACATTTGGTGGAGTGAGATCTCCTTGTTCACTCGTAGTCGATAAAATAGCCGACGTTAAATGATAATAATCCGATGTAACCGTCGTAGGACGTGGTGCAAGCCATTCAACTGGATTATCATTGATTTTCAAATGCCGTATATCCCCATGGAAGAACTGTTTGGTACGAACAGATAAATATGTTGGAGAATACTTTTCCGAATGACCAGCGATGAACAGTGGGCCACGCATATCAACTGAATGAACACGTGCTTCGGTTTTTGTATACTGACGCTTATCAACTTTCATAACAAGTGAACTACCATCAAGACGTATTTGAATGAAATGCCATGCACCATCGCATAGACGATTTTTAGTGAAATTAGTTCGAACACTGTACGGTTGACCACGTGCAACAGCTCGTGCGATCAACTATTTTATGTTATAATCAATCTTAAAGATACTGACAAAAGAAAAGTTACCTGCCGATTTTGAATTTCGATTGTAAAACTTGAATCTGGTAATGGATCACTAATCCATAAGAGAAGACCATCTGCGGCAAACGTTTTCATTTGAAAATTAATCGTGAACGAATCATAAATTTTAAAATTGGGATCTATTCAAACTCAAACATAATATAACACACAGTTCTATAGAAAGAGAAATATAACATACCATATAGTGCGTACGATCGTCCATCAAATGGAATTCCTTCAGGTGAATTGAGATAACTCACCGCTGGTGAGACACTGTATTCTAAATTATCCATAATAAGTTAGTCAGGCGGTATACTCGAGAAACGTCTTTATCTAAAACAAATAGTACTATATATAGTACAAGTAGTTCTATTAATATCATCGCCGAACGAGTGTCTGGAAATGATTTTTCTCATTCCTCTCTAACGCTGGTAAAAGCCTATTATGTCCAACGCAAAAGTGTGAGAGATACTTCCTCTTCTGAGAATAATTAAGATGATCGTTGTACTTGAGATGACAAGTTGTTATCAACAACGATGGTATTTACTGATGACTCTCTGATTCCGTAAAGTATGCATATCTGTCTGTACAGGTGAAGTATCTGTCTATGTTTGTGACTCTTTCACCTTCCACTGCACTCTTTCTCTCTCTCTTTCTTTTTCTATGTAACACTTTAATATTGATCGAACTATTTTAATGATGAAAGCTGAGGTAGAAACACAAGGCAACACGTAACCAGAAATATCCTTAAATGTACGAAAGATAAGACAAGGTTTTTTTTCAAGGAAGTATATTATAAAAAAAGGGTAGAGGATTGTTGGACACTTGAAATAACGTTTTTATATTATTGACCTTCCTGAATGAAGAGGTCTCAAGAAGAAGGAGAAAGGCATTGCATAGGTATATGTGTATGTGTGTATATATATATTCACGTTCAAGCGCAAAGAAATAGGACTCGTGTTCGTAATAGTATTTGACATTGAAAGTTAATAGTTGATTTTGCAAAAGAACATCTACATGTCTATACTTATCAAATGAACTTTCGACATACATGATAAAATCAGTCTTGATGAGTGCGCTAGCTGATAACAATCGGCTTCGAAATCGACATTTCTTTTCGATCAAAAGATATGTAGATGTGATGTTGTAATAACACAGACGTAAGCACAGTGAAGAAAAAAAAAAGAAAGTTAAATTGACCATCATGCTGTCTATGCCTATTAGAAGAAAAAAGATCGCATTTAATATGCTAATTATAAGCGTAAGGTTGTCTTATGTCTGCTCAATTAAAAATGATCGAACTGTTTTTGACTGTCTGAACACTAATCGAATATGTGGAAAGAGAGGTTACGACCTTCTTACCAATAGCATCATGCAACACGTCGAGCTAGGTTTACATAGAAAAGTAATTAATGATATTTTGTATGCTGTTTGAACAAGATAAGAGAGAATGATATCGATGTTCGTTTGAGCACTTACTGCTTCGAATAGAATCGGAAGATTGCCTGAAAAAATCTATCGGATAACTAAGTGTACATATGTTTTTTTTTCTGGTATCGTTATCCAATCGAAATATATTGCACATCTGGGGAGGAGTATCCGGATTGTATAAGTTATGATGACGATTCCATCAATTAAGAAAACGATATGAAAAATATTTATTTAAAAGAAAACTCGTTCGATTCATTTAGCAAGTTCTTTTAAAACTTCGTTGATAACTACATGTCCATTTCGAGAATACATATCAAATGCTCGTTGTACTTTGTTTTCATCTATTTGTAAATCCCATACTTGATTATAAGCTCGGAATAATCGTCGTGCTTCTTCTCGGGGTAACAGAAAATCCTCTATTGAAACAAAATTAAAGTCCATTCGAGTGTTTTCTCATTTTTGATACATACGCATCACGTTGGAATCAGCACGTTGTGTATACATAGCATTAGCGAAACGAAGAAAACGTGTAAACCAAGCATTCGGATAGGTACTTTCCTGAAGACAATCAATGTTTACAATCTATGCGGGGAAAGAGACACAATGTTGATTTACCAGCCGCACTCGGTCGTTATTAGCAATGTTTGCCATGAATCGATCGATAATTTTTATACGATCTCTCTCGTTGAATTCTCTATGAAGATCATCGAGCCATTGATTTCGTGTTCGAGTATACTAAATGATAAGCAAACATTTCGAATGAAAAAGAACAACTTTTGCTAGTTTTACTTGGGAAAAAACTGGACTTGATCGATCTTGAATTTGTTGTGCATCAAATACGCGTTCATGCAAATATTGAACAAATGCTTTCCAACTAAAATCACATATCAACAAGTTGACTCTTTCATTAAAGTCAACAGTTTTACTTGTATAGTTTTGGATACGCTCGACAATGTCTTTCAAGTATTCGATAGATCAATGAACGTTGTAAAGGTATGCGAACTTTATAGATCACTTCTTCTATTTGTTGTCGATTGAGAATTCCACTTTGATTTCGATCTGTACTACTCAATTCTCGAGTTAGTGCATTAAAATCAATAGTACCATCATGTTCAAATTGTTTAAGATCTTGTTTTAATAAGGAACGAATCTGAGTTTCATCAGGATCGAATTTGTCATTTGACATCATTTGTCGCTGGGGACTGTAACGATCTTGTTGTTGGGAATGATGCCTATGCAAAATAAAGTATTGTCTAGAACTCATTCAGACTACATAAGCATATGGGTTGTTTTAGAGTGGTCAATAGTCTTTTATGAGCAAATCCTATCGTTAAATGGGATGCATGAGTACATACCCTATGTGAGTATCATAGTATTTCGAGTGCTCTGACCAATGCTTACCATGATGGTACTGGCGACTCCTACAAATGGATAACTGTCGAGGCAAGAAATATAACACTATTTTCAAAAAGACTGCGCTCTTCGATTAGATTTTTGTAGACATGTAAGGAGCATAACTTACTCATACTGATTAGGTGCTAAGGATGACATACATCTTCCGAAATATCGAATCATATCTTCATAGTTGACGAAACCTCGTGGACGATCACGTGAAACGAATTTACTCATTGCAAATCGAAATGTATCATCGGACATGTAAACCTAAGTAAAATAGAAATCGTAGTCAAATGAAAATCGCTATTATTTCAATGTACTCCGAGTTGATAAGCGACCGATCGAACAGTTGAATAGTGGACATAATTAGTCAAACCTGGATCGTAAGCAGCTAGTTCTTTGTAGAGTAGTTTTAATTTGTCTACTAAACCATCATTTCCTAATTGAGCATGAATTTGCTCTGCTAGCCGTTCTTCCTCATAGTCCGTTAATAAGATTGGTTCTGCAGGTAAATATTCGTCACCATTACTTGTCTTCGGAGGTGATTGTTGTTGTTGTTGCTGCTGCTGCTGCTGCTGCTGTTGCAGTGGCTGTGGAAGCGGCGGAGGATGATTGTCGACAATACTCGAATGATCTGACCCATCTGTTGAGCTTTTATTCGAGGGAATTTTCGGTAGCACAGGATATGAACTAAAATTATTTTGGAATTGTCGAGTTGGCTGTGAAAATTGACTCTAAGATGACAAAAAAAACATAACAGAAAAACAGCTAATAATCAAATAATATACCGATTGTCGTGGGCGAGGGACGAACTCTCTCCGGTAAGTCGTTTCGAACCTTCCTAAAGGGTGATGTTGCAATCTTGAACTTTCATTTTCTTGTATGTGTTGGATAGGCTTTGTTGGAGCGACAGCTGGATCACTAGAAGAAACACACACAAACTCAATCGATATTTTCCGTAATTTCCAGCCTACTAAATGTGACTCGATATGGGATAATATTGTGTAAACGCCATTTTTATTTTCACAATAGAGTGATTGAAAGAAAAACTGAGACACGTTTAATAAAATCTCTAGTAAACAAACGCAGCAAACACTTTCTCTTTCTTCTACTACTCCTTTTTTTGATGTGTTGTTATTATTGCAACGATTCTGTCATTCCGTCGGTGAAAATCAAGAGTAACTTAAGTTGCTTGGGTAACTTCGTTTTTTGTTGATCGTTACCGATGTGTTTGTATCGAAACAATGATTAGACATGTATGTAATCAATTCATTTCCTTACAGCAATGAGGAAGGAAGTGAGACACCACAACACAATCAACACTTACGGTGGATTCAATAATGTTTCGTAGGAGAACTTGGGCACATTTGCCATTGATCGTGGTAAAACGACACATCGGCCAGCAACAATTTTGATTGTTTGTTCAGGAGTATATTCTGTCCCAAATGGTGCGTATGTTGGAATTGCTGCCGTTGCATAATTGACGGGAATTGGTATCTAATACAAATGAAAACAAACTGTGATAAACATCGATGAGATATCTACCTTTGGTTTTAAATGCATTCGCATATTTGTGAATTGTCCATTGCGATTTTCAATTGGAGACATATATGTCAACCGCATCTTTCGAACTTTTGCTGAGTGTGTTCGAAAGTATAAATATGAAGTGTTAAGACTCGATTTCTTCGCTGTCCTTCCTCACTTTTTCGTGTATGTACTCAGATTTATATACATGTTCTCGCGCATGAAACTGATTCTTCAATCTCATTTTCTTAATTATATCGAAAGCCTTCAAAGTTTACCATCACGACGTGTTGTAAATATTAGACTGCAACTTGTTTATTCACTCTCTCTCTCTCCTTCTCATATATGAACTAAAACTCTCAAATTCTGATTACAGAACAATTTGAGGAAGATTACATGCTTGACAAACTATCATAGTCCTTGATTTAATTGCTGATTTTCAAGTACGACAACTTGCTTAATTATGTGACTAAGATAATAAACATCTCATCATCGAGCACGAAATGAAAGAAAAGAAGCCAATGAAAATTTTGACTGAATATTGTTTCGTTATTAATGTTCGTGTTCTGTTGTAGATGTACAATAAGTATTAGTTTCTAATATCTTCCGTATGTTTACGAATGATCGGATATGGTAAATCCAAGATTGTAATCGGTGTTGTTGAGAATCTAAACTTTTTTGTTTGCGTGAATCGACCTTGTCAAATGCGACAAGGACTTGTAGAAAAATGATGTACAATGTGAAGGCGAAGAAATTTGATAGAATGACTGATATCGCGTGACGAATTGCAGAAGAAAAAGAGCGTTTTTCATAAAGAAATGTAAACAACAGTGCAAATGAAATTGTCTTTTGAGAGAAGTTGATCGTCTAAAACTCGTATGTACATAGACAAAAGTGAAATGGAATTATATCGAAGGCCAACAATATATTCAAATGGACGTCCGTCTCTCCAAGGGTAACAACAGATTGGCTGATTTCTAATGTAATATCAATCGCTGTGTTAACCTTGATTTTTTCCTTTCAAGAGACCCTGCAACATACAGATTTGCTCTTTTCCTCCTTCGCGCACTGGCTATACTAACATTCGGTGCAGTTGTCGGTGTAATTGTTGGAAATGCCGCACATTATGGTGAGTATTTTACATCGATTGATTTCAATCGCTCTAGTTTGATGCGTTCTAGAATATTATCCAGCAAATAACAGAACAACCATCTCTTCGAATGACCTGTGGAACATCTCGATATTCCAGTAATCTTTCAGAGTACAAGTATTCGATTAAGAAATTGATTGTAGGCCAGATTTCTCGATTTTATATATTTAGTCTTTTTTATATGCTTTAAAAGAAAGAAAGAAAGAGAAGAGAAGAAATAGAGAGTGTATATGTGTTAACAACAAGACAACAAGATTTGATACTTGATTAGATCAAGCATAATAATTCAAATTCATTTTCTTCTTCGCTTGAACTTCGAGTATAGCATCCATAAAATCTTCGTGTTGTACTTCGACGGCACCTCGACGTAAAGCAATCATACCCTTAATAAAGAAAAGTGTGTTTCCATTAGCAAGGAAATTTATCTCATCTCAGATACGTACAGCTTCGACACAAACAGCTTTACATTGTGCACCGTTGAAGTCGTCTGTACAACGAGCTAGTTCTTCGAAATTGACGTCTTTGTTCGTATTCATTTTACGACTGTGAATTTGCATGATTCGTGCTCGTGCCTGAAACGAAATGTATTCTACATAAAAATTTCTACGGACTACGACTTTACCGTTTCATTTGGATGTGGAAATTCAATTTTACGATCAAGCCGTCCAGAACGTAGCAACGCAGGATCCAGGATGTCCACACGATTGGTTGCAGCAATTACTCTAGAGAAGAAAGAGTAAACAAACATGAATCAGTTTCGAGTTGACAAATGACTTTTATCTTACTTGATATCATGATTTGGTTGAAAACCATCTAATTGATTGAGTAATTCTAACATAGTCCGTTGTACTTCTCGATCTCCTGCCTTTTCACTATCGAATCGTTTAGTTCCAATAGCATCCAATTCATCGATGAATATAATTGCCGGTGCTTTTTCTTTCGCCAAGGCGAATGCATCACGTACTAGTTTAGCTCCATCACCTACAGTTAATCAAACGAATCATATGCGTTACTCAAGCAAAACAACTGTGATTCATACCAATAAACATTTGTACAAGTTGAGGGCCAGCCAATTTTAAAAATGCTGATTTGGTTTGTGCAGCGCACGCACGTGCTAAAAGAGTTTTACCAGTGCCCGGTGGTCCATAAAGGAGAACACCTTTAGGTGGCTGAATGCCAAGTGATAAAAAGCGATCTTTATGCGTCATAGGTAAAACAACAGCTTCGATCAATTCTTGAATTTGTTTATCTAAACCACCGATGTCGCCGTATTGTTCTGTAGGTCTCTCATCGACTTCCATAGCTTTGACACGAGAGTCATATTCAACAGGTAATTTTTCTAATACCAAATAAGAATCTTTATTGACACCCTGTTTAGACACGAAATCAGACAGATTTGATTTTTCTTGACGAGAGAGAACTTACAACTAAATCTGCTGGCTTCATTTCTTCTGGTTCGACTAATCCAATAACAGGTAAGAAGTATGTCTATTAATCAGAAATTATTTTAATAGATTCTTCGGAGAAAGCAGACTCTTCTTACTTGTCGCGTAGATGTTTTGATCACCGCACATTTTCCTTTACGTTGCGCGTCAAGATCGATGTTAGCTCCTTCATCTTCTTCGCCTTGCGGATCGAGATCAAATAACTAAAAATGACCATTACTTTCCAGTGTAAACAATCAGAAATGATTTACTTCGATAACATTCGAGACGAGATATGGTAATGTTTTGTTCACTTTGATTTTTTCTTTGTTGTCTTTAATTCTATCACGCATCGATTGACTTTCATGTGAAATTCGGACAATATCATTTTTCATAATCTATAAAAAAACCGAAATCTTTCAATGGCACGTAATCGTCTAGTTGACGCATACAAACCTTCACTTCATTATCTAGCAGACGTGAGCGCGCTATGACATCTTCGGTTGAGAGACGAGAAATATCGAGTCCTTGAAAAGCGTCGGTCTAAAAATTGAAATGATCGTTGGACACAGAAAAATTCAGATCATACTTCAGCATCAGTGAAAATCGCCTTGTTTGCACTGTTCGATGTTGCTGTTGAAGAAGACATTTTCTGAAAAATACTATTCACGTTGTAAATCAAATCTGAGATGCTGTGAACAAACGACAAAAAAAACGACGAAATGAGTAAGTAAAACAAGTACATTACATATACCGTGTTTAGAATCGTTCTAATATGATTGGTCAAATGCCTGTAGTGTTGAATAGAGGTCGATAGCAATCAGAAAAAGATCACCTCATGTATGTCATATAGAAGTATACAAGTCGAAATCAATGTCATTGATGAGTTCATCGATAGTTGTGTGAAAATTTAGCTTTGTGGAAATTTTCCATCTTCTTTTTCGTCTTATTGCTAATAAAATACAAAACTCCGGGTGAGAAAAACAACAAATATTCAAAACAAAATCGACAGCGTATATCTAAAACTGATTCTCATTCATGAGGATGTCGTCGATGAGTTAGTTCGAACTAGATTTGCCATTTGTTCCAGCGTCATGTACTTCGATTCGAGCGCCATCCGCATTGCCTACAAAAAAAAGGAAGCTTATATAAACAAAAACCCTTTATGTTTTCTCTTCATTGCTTACATAAGCTTGAGCAGTTGTGTCATTTCGATATTTCTCCAATTCTGTTTTATTGTAGTGACCGAGTTTGAAAGCAAATTTCGAGAAACGATCATTTGTATGCCAGCAATGCAGATTCAGACGAATACCATTTTGAACGTAAGCCTGACTAGCGTCAGTCGAGGACTGATCGAGAAGATTATGTCCTATTACCACACGGATTTGATTAGTACCAACTAAATGATTTATCGCCAAATGTTGACCGTAGAGAAGCAAAACACCATAATGCCTTCGCAAAAAAAAAAGAAAGTTTTTTTTATCAATGTTGACTTTGTTACACGTACCATTCTGGCCACATTAATGTTCCTAATTTTGATTCTCTTTCTGGTGTAGCAAATTCATACTGTGCTAACCACAGCATTCCATACAGTGTCTGATTAGCTACCAAATATCCATCATGAGCAGATCCATACCTAGAGTAAAAATTCATCTACAATCAAAAAAAGAACACATTTGTGTGCAATACGAACCATGTTGAGCCCATACCAGACATACCACTAAACGCAAATCCCATATCACGAGAAATGCGAGCTAGTTTTCTCCGATTAAAATCTGTTCCATACCCACCACCACCGGTCAGTAGCGTACAATTTTCAGGAATATATTTTCCAAAATGACGATAGATAAAAACATCTGAGTGCAAATAGTTCAACAAGTAAAGATCATATGATAAAATCATTGTCACCTACCGATATCAGTTCGCAGTACGAAGTCGTACATACTAAATGTGTGGTAGCCTTCATAAATAGTATTGATTGAATCGATATAACCATACGTTCGAAGAACGTTATATAACAACTGTGAACGTTTGACATCAAATGTTTTCGAGTCATTGACTACCGGGATAGTAACCATTTGTTCAACACTTTCATTGTAAGCTTTAGCGAGACTTTTCGCCGCAGCAAATGCATGTTCAAAGTTATTACTAGTCAAATTCGGTGTCCGAAACTGAATTGGAATATAAAGGAACAAGCGGCAAACGGATGGTTCTTGTTTATTTTGTCGAATACGATTCACACAACCAAGGGAGCGAAACTCAGCTGAAAAATTATATGTAAATATTACAAAATCCGTCCGCCATGTCGGTGGTTGACTAAGTAACATTTCAGCCCACGAACGATACAACCTTAATAAAGAAACTTTCAATCGATCGCTAAACATGCCGATCGTGATGCTTACCATCTCACTTCAGGAAAGAAGTATTCACCTTGATGATGTGGATAATAAATAATAATCGCACGTTGAACAGATGAGTTCTTATTGACTGGTTGGCAGGGAGGAAGTGGTGGGATAGTCGAGCTGGATGATGAACTAGTCGTGGGTTTAGTCGTTGGAACAGGTGTTGTTTCAGGTTTTGTAATATTAGACACTTCTTGTTTGACAATAGCGGATTTATTTATGACAGGGACGGTTTCAACAACTGGTGGACAGTTACACTTTTCTTGTACAAGTTCAGATTCGTCTGGGCTCTGATGATTAAATATAAAAATAATAATAAATATGACAAGCGAAAGAGCAATAGCTGATAACAACGATCTTGGTGAGAATCGTCTCATGATATTCAAATCTAAATGAAAGCAAGAAGAAAAAGAAGCTGTTGTCTTTGACAATAATCAATCTTATTGTACGAATATGAGTTACTTTTTTTATTTACCATAAGAATAGGTGCATATGTATGTGTGCGCATGTTTAAAGTGTTCGGTAGTCAGTCGGAAAGAGAACTAATGTGAAGGACGAATGAGTAAGAAAAAAGAAAGTTGAAGTTTTGAAAGAATGAAACAATTTTTCTCGTTTTCTATACACTTCTGTCAACTATAAAGATGCTGCTTACACTGCAAATAGTTACAAAGAATGTTGGGATGTCAATTCATGTCGTTCATTGACAAAAGTCGGTTATTTGTCAGGATAAATACGAATTACTTGAATAAAAAATTTACATGACTACCTGATATGTTTACCAAAATATCATAACATGGCTTTTTATTATTTACCGAGAGCGTCACGTTTTGATAAACTGTCATGGTCGTTATATTTTTCATAATATAAACGAATCAGGACCGAACGATTGACTTTGTTTTATTTTCGGAAGTCTCTTTACACGGTATAGCGTGTTTGAGTTTGATTGAAGAAGAAAAAATGTGTTCACTTAAAATGCTACCAATCATCGTGTTCAGTAAGAAGAAGAAGGAGAAGAAGGAAGAAACGACGCAAGAATGTTAAACTTATGCCATAGTTTCTACTTAGAAGAATTATTTTTGCTTCTTTCTTCCCGACGCGTCGAACTACACACGAGACGACTTCAAACTTCTCTCGTTGTCTCATGAATACCTTGTTTTTTCTCCTCGTGGCAAAGAAAATGGCGCTAAGCAACTAATTTGATTAGCACGAAAACACTCAACAAAATTAAAACGATGTGTATCACTGGACGGAAGTAGAACTTTAATTACAATTAGCAAAGATGAATAGTGTAAACATGATAATTTCGAGCTATCAATCGGAAAGTCAGGAAAATGACGTCATCTATCGGTGGACTTTTGTTATTTTCGTTCTTTATATTTCGCTTCGTTTCGTTACTGTTCATTTGAATTTGAATCGAAGTTCGACGTTGTGTTTTCTTTTTGTAGATGGACGGAATTGAGGAACAAGAAGATCTATCTCCAATTATTCAAATCTTTGAACGTCTCGTCTTTCAACGAAATCAAGAACTTCATGATCAAGTTTCGTCAATGATCGATTTGTTTTCTCTCTCGGAAGTCAGTCGACTTTTTTCATGTACCATTTCTTACTTCTGTTTTCGTTCTAGGTTACCTTAGATATGTTAGATACATTAATTGAATGTGTAAAAGTCATCTTTGTCAATCAGCAAACCAATAAAAATCAGCGAAACTTAGATTTTCTTGTTACACTCACACATGTCACACATCTAACCTACACAAGTAACAAAAATTTAGCATTAGTTTTCGATGCTCTAATTGATGTTTTCAGTCAAGTAAGACGAAGTGAAAACAAATAATGGAACATGACCGATTTCTCTTGTTTGTTTAGTCGATGATTGCAGTCGATAGTCATATTCGTCATACGACACTTCGTATTCTTAATAAACTGCAAACATTTGTTGATCTATCTCGATCGCCGTTTGTACCTGATCAGTTCGAGCAATATCTATTAGAATTATTGCAAAATGAAACAACACTTCTTGTTCTTGATGAAATTATTCCATTAGCGGCGAAATTTCAACATAAAAATTCTCAATTTATTGATGGTTCGTAAATATATACGGAAGAAGAAGAAGATTTATTGACAACGATTTCTTGTTTTGTAGCTTTCCTCAACAGAATCAATTCAGCCAAATGGGCTTCATATGTGGATCGACGACGTCAAATAGTCTCACTGATCGAGTATTCTCCGGCGTCTCTCCAATTTCTTTTATCCTCCATTGAAACGGACACAGATGTATCTCAAATCGCGTTTGAAAGTCTTCTAGCGAACGAACGAGGTTTTACGATCTACTCAATCGAAGATCAGGGTCGATTGACGATTTTCAAAATCGCAAGAACGTCGCGTGATTTATCTCGGTTGATCTTTACCAGATGGATTAATCAAAGTGGAGACGAACTCGTCGATATTCTTCGTTTATGTCAGATCTCATCCTTAACCGAAAGCAAGAAAACCAACGAACGATTGATGATCGAAACATGTTTAAAATATTTCCTAACTGATAGTCACATTCGACGCATTGTAGTCAATAACATGAAGAAAGTTCTTGGAAATAATCAGTAAGTTTCCGTGACACAAGAAACATGTTTAGGCAAGTTCATCATTTATAGGGGTGGCCTGTTATCATCGAATATGACCAATTATATTGAATATCTATTTCTATGGCGTATCTTATGTCAATTAATCAGTGAAGAAGACGATGACGATACCAATATTCATCCGGACTTTCAAGAGTTCATCACACATTACTATCGTATCATTAAATCTTCTATCAACGAAAAGTTATCTTCAACTAACGAATTCATCCTTTGTCAATACGCTTCCATTCTCAGCACATTCGACATGCTCGATATCTATCGTCGTAAATGTCTGGAAGCCATGGGTCGATGTATTCTCGTACATTATGGTCGATACGAAGCAATTATCCAGCAAGCCTATCAACTCATTCGCCGTGTTCATCCAACGCCCGAGACAACAAATGAGCGATACCAATTGATAACGTACACGTTAAATGATGTCATCCAACGTTGTCAAAGCTCGCACAATGAACAAATGATATTCATTCAATGTATGACTATTGCAAGAATTTTTATCGAACAAGAAAAGCAATTCGAATCGAGCAATACAGATTTCAAACAATTGATCGATTCACTAGTAAGAGAAAGTTTAACATGATTTGTTTAAATCTGTTTCTCTAGATTAAATCCGGTTTATCGCATAATCAAATCGATATTCAAGCTCAAACATTAGCAACACTACGAACTCTTATGTGCCATTCTCGACAAGTGGCCGTGGAATATCTTTCACAACTTCTTCATATGATCGTATGTGATGAACATTGCCTTTCACATAGTGATGAACAATCTTACTTCTTTAGGATAAAATTGATCATCCATCATTAAAATGTCAATTAGTATCAACTTTTCTCGATGTTCTTTTGGTTCATAGTCTTGATATTTTAACAAATATCGACCTTTTGGATATGACACCAATACAGTTTACTACTGAATTCGTGTTAGATCTATTCGACGAACGGGTAAAATTCGTCTATCGGATCAGTAAATAAACAATGAAATTATCTTTTTTATTTCGTAGAACGTGGAACTGAAAAGTTTGATCGTATTTGATGTGATGAAATTACTTCTGACTGCTCGTTTGGAACCAACGAGTCACCTATTGAAAATGATTCTTGATTATCGTTTTTCAAATGATCATTACTTGATCGCTCAACAACAACAACAAGATGACATCACTTCATTCTTCTATTTCTTCGCTCATTTATCAACGTAGGAACCATTTCCAACCGATATTGTACGTTGAATTCTTTACTCTTTAGATCGAATGTTCAACTGATCGAAGAATTAACATTCGATCTCGTTTCTCGCTATTTACCATTTGTATTTGACCGCAGTACGAAAGCATATCAATCGATTCTAACCGAATCTATGTGTTCTTTCTGTCTTCAACTCCTTTCATTACCAACGTTACCAATCGAGGAACATCCATACTACCACCTCGCAAAACGTCTTCTCGAAACGATTCATCAATCAACAAATAATCGTACGACATTTATCATCAAATCCTATATGACTACCATCAAACATTTCCAATTCGAATATCTGACCAAAGAACAATTACAAAATCTTTTAGATTCACTTCTTCCACTTCAACAAGTACGTTGCTCGTTGTAATTCATTGAATAAAGAACGATTCTCTTTAGTATCCGAATGTACCGTCGGTTGTATCAAACTTGATAAAAAACATCTTCGATCAGATTGAATCGTCATTGAAACTAATCAACAGATTGGTTAGTAGAGAGAAAAGACATCGTCACAGTATTATTTCGTAATTTTTCTTTTTAGACTGGCGAACGTAACGAAGACAAACGATCTCGTTCACCATCATTATCATCTCCTAACAATGCTAAACGTGTTTCTTCGCAATTCCATCCGTCGATCACATCGTCGCCTATTGTTCTTCAAGATCGAACTAATCAAACTATTCATACAAACAATGAACCGATCAATCGATCAGCATTGAAAGGGATCAAACGAAAGATCACTTCTCAACGTTACACAACACTTGATTTCGAAAATGATGCAGATGATTATTTCTAAGCGTCGATATTCTTTTATACATGATTTCATTCAGATGTTTTTGTATGTTCTTATTTTATCGTGACTTTACTTATATTTTGAAACTTATAGTAATTAAATACAATTAGAATTGATTAGATATACATTTGCTACACGGAAGAAACTTGCACTTCAATCAGACATTCTTCCTCAACGGAGATGTTTGAATTTTTTTCGTTTTAATTTCCTTTAGTATCAATGAAAATGATGCTATTATTTCCTTCGGATTCAGGGAAATAACAGTCGGAAGCAAGACTTGTTCACATAAGAGAGTGAAATGATAATTTTGTTTCAGTCAGAAAGAATTACTTTTTTTTTGATAGATTCGACCTCTGCAAGCAGCTAACACGAATCGTTTCTTCCTCTATCTTTATTTTCGAACACATAAATATATATATGTATGTATATCACGACAAAAATAGACAAACATTGAAGGAAAAAACAAGTATATCGAAAGACATACTTTAAAGAATCGAAGACAATAGAAAAGGTCAATCGGTGTCGCATATGACTCCTAAGCGTGCACAAAATGAAATTACGCAAGAATAAGGAATTTAAAAAACAGTTAACTATTGACATATACGTGAAGAACAAGTCGCTTAGCGCAAACAAACATGTCAGCACCGATCTATACAATAATAAAAGAGTTTATCACGAGTGGTGTCTCCTAAGGCGGTAAACACATAGCAGGCTGTGCCGGTGGGTTAGCCCATGGCGTAGGTGTGCTATTATTGACGTGGTTTGTGTCGGTAATGGTTCCATTTGATGGCATCGATGGAGGTGGAGGATTAAATTGATTTTGTAGAGCTTGAGCAGTAATCAAAGCAGCAGTTGCAGCAACAACAGCTGTCTTTTTCACATCAAGTAATGACGTGGATGTCGCATTGAGAACATCGGGAGATATGACTGTGGTACTGAGGGCTCTATCAATCGATTGTTCAACCCGTGCGTAATCATACTGGAAGAATAAATACAAATATGTCTGAGTTATATGGAAAAACAAGATTTGTATAGCAAAAAAGATTGTCTTACCTCATGGATGAGGCCGAGGTCTAGTAGTTCTTTTGTAATACCATTCGGTGTTTCATCTTGTTCGATTTCTGCTGTCATATCACGTTGCAATCGATCTTGAAACTTCACACTGATGAATAACTAAATGCCAACGGGGAAAATATTGATCTTCAAATTATTCGAAAAATTAGATTTACCAAACATAAGCCTGTTTCTTTGGTTTTGATTTTACATTGAATATCAATAATTCGTCGACTTTCTTTCTCATCGATAGTAGCTATTGGTGGTATTGATGAATGGTTAATATGATTTGCTGTTGCTGCTGTGATCGATTCTCGACGATGATGTTCAACTTCATTGACAATAGACGTTGATCTTTCGTGATTTGTCGTTAAAGAATTCGTATCATTGATATTATTCGCAAGAAATACCGATGGATCGGATATGGTTTGTACGGGAGTCTGTAAATCATTTTCAGTTGTTGTCGACACTATAGATGAGAGAGAGGATGTCGATGATGCAATGTTTTTCTCCGAAACATTAGTTCCCGTTGGTACTGATAATGAACTTTGCGTAGGAAATAGGAGGTGATAAGCGGTTATAGGATATAAACCATTTTGGACATCTTCAAGTAATTTATCTAAGTCAAATGATGGACAATCTTTATAACTAGAACAGAAGTTATATCAGCGGAACAATCTCGAACATGCAAATAGATCTTTACGTATAAATCACTGGTTTGACACCTTCTCGTATTGGTTCTAATTCTGCAAAGACTTGATCATTCGATATGGGATGTACAACAGGTGAAACAAATGAACGATCAGGCTTCAATCCTACAGAAGTAGCGAAATGCAACGAAGAGTTCGATTGATTATCTTACGAATATCGTCTGCTAATGAATGAACAGCAAGTAATTTCAACGATGGAATTTCAAATAAAGCCGGATGAAAGAGTAACTCGCGCGCAGTTGGTCGCCGTGTTGGATCCGTTGCTAGACATTTCAAAATGAGATCCTATTAAACAAATTAATTTGTTATTAACTGTTAACTCTACACGGATCAATTCACTTTTTGTACAGGATTTTCGAGACTTTGAATAGCTTCGTTCACAACTTCTTCAGTTACCGAATGCGTATCGCCATTGCCACCGAGATCAAGATTGATCATCTAAACATTCAATTTTACCAATTAATGAACATATTCCTATGAGAGCAGCTTACCTCAAGTGTTACCATCCCAAGTGAATAGATATCAGCAGCTGTCGTAATATGACTCAATTCTAAAATTCATAAGTACATTGACCCTTTGCTTTTGTTTTCAATCTCTACAGACCTGCATCGAATTCTGGTGCTCGAAAATGAACATTTTTCGCTGCTGAATCAGAAAAGCTCTTCACATGTCGATGCAATACATCCGGTGCAACTAAATAAATATAGGAAAATCCGTAGAGAAAAACATCACATGAAACTATCAATTTAACAATCATACATATTGAATTAATTAAACGATTAGTGCAGAGAGCATTATGTACAATAAAACAGAAGCACAAGAAAAGAAAACGGTTTTCAAACGAGTTAACCTACCGATGCCCACGTCAACGAATGCTTTCAACTGAGGAAAATGAACTACAGATACACATAAGGGTGAGCAGTGTTTTAGTTATAATCTAAGAGATTTTTCAATAAATCTACTTCGAGCATGTCAACTTACTCGATCCAATCTTCACAAGACCAGTATTTTGAATGAATATCGTATCACAAGTTAGATTGCCATGTATTATTGGTTCGTCACAAGAATGTAGATAGCTAAATGAATACATTTGAGTGTATAGGATGTTACCATGACTAAATATGTTATTTTGGCCAGGTAGCTCAATCTAACTTAGTCTTAGCTAGTGTTACAACGAACAAAGAAGCTTAAATTGCACTCTGTTGATTGTGCATAGGTTTTAGGTGCAATCTGTCGTATTTTTTAAAAAGCTTTTCGACATGACTTTATTGACAATGTCAACTGTTGTCAATCAATTCCAGTCAGTTGTAAAAAGTTGTTTTTCTCGTACTTGAGGGCTGATAGTAATTGAATACACCAACGTCTCCAGGAATTTTTCGATAGGTTTTGTTTCGTTTTCTTCGTTTTGCGTAGAAAGTGCTTCAACGATCCACTTGACATGTATTCCGTTATGAAAACAACCTTCAAATTCCATGAATCAATAGAAACGAGAGATTCATACAAAATTCGCTGTTTACCCGAGGACGGTCATCATTTAGTGTACGATCTTGCCAGTAACCATGAAACTTCACAATGTTCATATGGTTTAATTCGATTAGTTTATCAAAAACTTCGCGAATTTTATTCTACAAAGCGAAGATTATGAATTATTAAGGAAAATTCATGAAATCTTACATGTTGAATATCGGTGATTTTTCTTTCAGAAAATAAAACTTCATTCCAAACAACTTCCACACCTTCTTCGGTGTCCATAGCTAAATATGATGCGTCAATACCAGGAATATCACGTTGAGCAACCTGAGAAAAAAAGAATTTGTCTGTAGAAAAGCATTCATTTGATATTCATTGAATCCCAACCGTTTCACGTCGTTTTTGCCATCTGGAACATGGACTTGATTCGATATAAACAGGTTCATCCTCTTCGTCGTCATCGGTTTCAGCTTGATGTTTGTTCGACCCACTATTTGTTGTTGTTTCACTCGTTACACCGATCTCTTTAGTCTAATTAAAAAACAAACAAATTCAATATAATCGTTGGATTCGTGCCTGGAAGGTTATTCGAGATAATCAAGAAATCGATTCTTCTTACCTCTTCTTCCATTGTCAGTGCTTCGTCTTTTTCCTGATTCATTGTTTATATAGAGAGAACATGATTGATAAGAAAAGGCAGAATTTTTTTGTTCGTTAACGAGGAAGTTAAAGTAAGGAAAACGTATAATAAGAAAGAAAAAAATTCTCGTCTATATTTTCTGCTTGTTGATTTCTAGGAGTGTTTTTCTTTTGTTCTCACGAATTCGTGTTTCTTTTTTGTCTACTGTAAAAGATGGGCAATAAATGTAACAGAATGAGATTCGTCAACACTTATATCCAGATCGGATAAATAAAAAGGAAGAGAGGAACGCGGAAAACAGATACGTGGATAATGATCGAATAGCAATACACCGTATTAACTAAACGGGTAGGGGGCGTACAAGTAGCGAAGGATTATATGGCAAAAGAAAATGTCAGAGATTAATCTAAGTGTAATCAAAATGAATATCTGCTCGTATGCACATACTTTCTTGTCAGGAAATGTTAGATATTTGCACAAGAAGAAATCTCTCAGCGAATTGTACCTGATTTAATAAGAATTGATTTCGTTTATCTAACATTGCCATCGTTGTTGATAGCAGTCATTTATTTTTACAAGATTTGTTGTTGTTGATTTTCAATGTCATAACCTTTCATCGACGCGCAGTTTAATTCTATTCTAAATAACAAGTATAGACATAACACATAAAAAGCACTGAATTAAATTCAAATGAATGGAATAGTACTGTAGATATTTAATTGGAGTACACTCTCATGCTTAGTAGAAAAGAGAAAAGAGAAGAAAAACATCAGTACTTCCTCACTGCTTCTAAATTTCATTCAAGCATACTCGACCGAACAGATGTTGCCGTTTTATTCACGTCAGATTATATCTTCAGCACGAATCAACTATTTCGTGTCAATTATAGTTTCATACGAAGCAAAATATTACCAATGAGATAGTATTTGTTTGCCTCATTCTCCCTCGCAAAGATTAGAAAAGTTTGTTTGATAAAAAGCAATTCGTTACATTGTAAATATTTTGACGTAAAAAAACATGAGAAGTTCGTGGTGCGTCATTGCAATATAAACTACGTTAAATATGTATTACAATGTAAATAGAACCCAAACTATCACCACACGAAACATGATTGTACTCTTCTGATTTTATCTGCTGTCAAGAATACTTTCACATACGCATCCCGATCGCTTTAACAGTTCACAGGTACTACACGTTTCCAGAGATATGGTACATTAGACCTCCCGATAGATGTCAGTAGCGATCGGAATACATCGATAGTTGATAATGTCATAATTTCTTGCACAAGAATAATTTGTATAATAGTTCGAAGGACTAGTACGAGGATTTTGATTGATTGATATGATTAACGAACTTTGACAAAACGAGGTTGTATCCAGCACAACCGACAAGTTGAATGGTATGACGTGAAGACTTCATAGTCTCTTCAAACATTTCATTACAGCGAACTGTTTCAATCATTTGATCTGATATACACGCAACAATCTCAGCATGGTAACGTGGATTTTTCTTCTCGGATAATAGCTAATTGTGATGATTTAGGCGAAAGCAACTATGACAACAAAGGAAGCTCTAGCAAAATGGGTAAATTGGCTCCTAAGAGAAAAGAAAAACATAATTAATGAAAACTCTTTAGGAAGAGAAAACTCAACAGAAACCTTCCGAGGCGAAGGAGGTTTTACTCTATGGACAATTTCCACCGATTGATAAAATGGATGCTTCAATTTCAACGCTCACTGCTTGCGAGTATGATCGGCCAGTGAAATCTTTCTTCTACTGATCAATTTCTTTTCAGAAAATTATCTTTATCGACAAATATGATCGAAAAGATTGCTAATTTGAACGGTTTAAGTAAGACATGATCGAAAACGATTGAAGTCTGAGAAGTAATCTTTTTTAGAAAATCTGAAAATTCTCTCCCTCGGTCGAAATTTAATAAAAAATCTTGTTGGTCTGGTGCGTGCCATCGTTCTTCTTGAACTTCCTATGAAAATGTCGTATATTCTAGGAAGCAGTCAGCGATACTCTGGAAGAGTTGTGGATCTCGTATAACCAAATCGAAAAGTTAAAGGGTATCGGCGGTATGAAAAAGCTACGTGTGCTCTATATGAGTAACAACCTCGTCAAAGAATGGGCTGAGTTTCAGAAATTAGTAAGAGACATTGCACTCGAAGATTTCCTTTTGCTTATTCGAATGCATACAGGCAGAGTTGCAAACACTTCAAGAGTTAGTGTTTACTGGAAATCCTTTACATGAGACGTTCCTGGAAAATAACGATGGTAAGCAAGAAATCTGGCAAGCTGAAGTTCAAAAGCGTTTGAAACCATTGAAGAAACTCGACGGTAAGAATGAAGAGTTCGATGTATTCTGCATATTTCTGAAATACTTTCTCTTTAGGTTTGCACGTCATTCGCGAACAAGAAGGTGGGGAATAGAACATCCGTTTATTGATCTATGTTTCTATATGTTTTTTTCCGAAATAAACTCAACATTTCTTTCTTTTTTAACATATTTCAAGAAAAGTCATATCTTGTTTTTATCGACTGATGGCTAATTTGAATTGTTTTCGTTGGATGTCCGACTGATTTTCTTAAGATCAAACATGAAAACACCTGCGGAATAAAAATATCAATGGAAAAAGTCGATCGTTGATCCTTTCTGTTGTTTATGTCGATAGAAGAAAATAAAAATAACAACCTAAATGTCATCTCTGATGCAAGTCAAGAGAATGTGTGATGTCCTCAAGCTGGAAAAGGGATATAAACAAGAAAAACGAAGGAGAACATAAAACTTCTGTTTATCTCCTCCTCATTATTTATTGCAAGAGAAGATCCTATCTTTTATCATTAATTGGACAGAAATAGCAGGAAAAAAGGCGACGGGGTAACAGATGATAGCGCTATATATATATTTACAAGTATTGATGTTAGTGTTTGACAAATAGATATATCAGATCAGTCGTTTGTACGCATCTAAACTTAGTAATAAGAAAAATGCTGGCCCACATCCAGTATACACTGGTTGTTCTCTTTCCTATCCTTTCGCAAGTGTTATGTCAAAATACTCATTCTCAATCGATTACTTGTTATACAAAGTATGATTCGGAAGAAACTCGAATTCAACCCTCGAGTATGGTTTGGAGCTATAATTATCATCATACCGAGACTACTCAATTTCGAACTTCTGATAATGAAGCCTGTGCACAGGTTGGTTGTGTTTGTTTCAGCTATCAAGCTGTCTGTCGACTTGCATCCGATGGACCTAATCATGTTTCGCAATGTAACGACGATGACCGACGTCATGGTACAATAAAATGGCATCGCGGATGGACGTCAAATGCTAAGTGTGAAGAAATGCGTCGACAAGTCCATGTTTATCATAATTTAACGTGCTGCAATACAGACCGGTGCAATGATCAACCTGGTAAGATAGTCAAAGTCGCAGATCCACCAAAACCGATACCATACAATGTCTTTTATGGCTCTCAGCAAGATCCACCACGTTATGATGACGCTGGTAATCCACTTCCTCAACGTTACGATACTCTTGGTCGTCCATCTCCACAACCAATGTTCAATCCTCATAACTCTATCCAACAGCACAATAGTAACAATTACCAACCACAACAACAGCCTCAATACGATACTCACAATCAACACCAACCACAACCCCAACATGATAGTTACAATCGACATCATTATTATCCGTATCAATCTTCGTCTAGTTCATACACAACACCTTCAACAACAACAACGCCGTCAACCACCAGAGCAACAACACCACGCCCACGTTATAATACGCATACACGTTATCTACTTACATCACGTTTGCCCGATGCATACACACCTACTGAAGTTTCTGATAAATCTTTAGGATCGAACGCATCTTTATTACATAGTTCCCTGTCAATTCGCATGGCATATCTTTTATTGCTTGCTTACTTTTGCAATACGATAAAATACTTCTGAACAGACCATCCAATGAGTGCAAAACTTTGGCACTAATTTTGCATATAGGCTATTCTTGTAGCAAGATAATTCATTGAATTGTAGTTGATTTTTCTCTCTTGCAATAAATATCTGCAAGCCAAGAATGCTTCGATAGTTCTCACAAGTAGATCATGTATCGTATATTCATATGTCGTTGACTACTACTTTAATATATACCATGTGCTATTTGTCGATCTACGACCAATGAAATGTGTTCTCAACGTTTTCTCGTCTCACTTTTTGTTTTTCTGTCTTCATATGCTGACTGTATAGGAAAGTATCCTGAGAAAACGAAGAAAAAAAAATTCTGGCCTGGAATACAAATCTTCTTTTCTTCGTTATGACATTAGGTCTCGCTTGTTTTGGAACGATAATCTATCGTTCAATGTCAAGAATTTCTTCGTATGCTAATTACATTATAAAATAAGTCAAGATTGTCAGCATAAATTATTGTTTGTTTAGATCGATATCTCAAAGCGACAAAAAATCGATGACGTCAATTAAGATGAATAAACCATCGGCAATTATACCTGCAACTGATAAACACACAGCTAGTGTATGTTCTTATGCAAATCAATGATTTCCTTATACGTTGTCGAATCATTTTTAGTTAATCTTCTTGCATGGATTGGGTGATGTTGGGTAGAAAAATTGTTGTCGACATTGACGCAGTCATATTCTCCTGCAATTTTAGAGAAAGTTGGCTCGAAGTCTTTGATATGTACAATATTCCTCAAACTGTTCGACATGTTAAGTTTATATTTCCAACTGCGTAAGTCACGAATGCGTCTGGTGCTCTGCTTATCTTGGATTTTTCATAAATAGTCCGATTCGAAGGATTACCTTGAACAATGGAATGCCAATGACCGGTTGTAAGCTAATGCTAATAAATGTGAATCTTCTCGAGTTTTGTGTACATATATCAAGGGTTTGATGCCTTTGGTCTTAATCGAAGTTCAAAAGAAGATCAAAATGGCATATTAGAAGCATCAACTTACGGTTTATATACTTCATTTCATCTGTTATTCTTCATTCAATCATATTTTCATAGTAAACAGTCTTGTGGAAGAAGAAATCAGAAATGGCATTTCATCAGAACGTATTGTATGTAAATGAAGCTTTGCGAAATTCAATCCTATAAACATTTCTATTTGCAGATGATTGGCGGATTTTCACAGTAAGACTTCAATGATTTGTTGATATTACGTATTTAAAAAAATCGGTTTTGTAGAGGAGGTGCAGCTGCACTTCACACCGGTAGAGCACATCTGTTTTCGTCGATTTCTCTAGAGTCGTCGAGTATTTTTCCGTTTTAGCATTGACAACCCCTCATCTCTTAGCTGGTGTTCTAGCTCTATCAACGTGGCTTCCTTTATCTTCAGCTTTTCCGGATGTTCGTTTTTCTTCTGTATTAACGAAAATTTGGAGTAGAATGATCCTTTTCTTCAGGCTCTTGTAGCTGGTGATAAAAAACTGAACTTGCCCATTCTTCAATGTCACGGTAGGTCTCTTCACGTTGTTGGCACATACATTCTCCTTCGTTCGTTTTCACAGGAAATCGTGATCCTGTAGTCGAAATACAATGGGGTCGAATGACTGAGGGACTTTTTAAAACTATGGGTTTCAAAGAATATGTTTTCAAAGAATATAGAGGAATGGTTCATTCGTCGAGCGATGAAGTAATTATTCAATGATGATTAAAGTTATATTTGAAGAAGAACTCGATTTCATTTAGGAGATCCATGATGTCGTCGATTTCATACAGAAATATCTACCGAAAAGTGGGAACAAAGATTAAACTTGTTTTGATTTTCATATTTTTTATTAGCTAATTAAAAACTCGGAAAACTGAAGATCTTACTTTTCTAATTTGTTTCAGATTATCTAAAAGGACTAAACTGACACAATGAGTAAAGCACCTGCTATCATTCCTGCAGCTGTAAAGCAAACAGCTAGTGTAAGCGGAATATTGTCGACGTGCATTGTATCTATTCATTCATTTGATTATTTAGTTAATCTTTTTGCATGGTCTCGGCGATGTTGGGTATGTATGGAACATAGAGCAGAGATCGATGGAATATTTTTTGTTCGATCTCTTTTAGGACAAGTTGGCTCGAAGCGTTTAACATGTATCGAATCCCAAAAGCTGCTCCACATGTTAAATTTATATTTCCTCACGCGTTAGTAGAAGATTGAGTGTAGTTTGAATAAAGTGTTGAAGTCTTTGTCTTCTTAGTCCAATTCAAAGAGTTACATTAAATATGGGTATGCCAATGCCGTCATGTAAGTTTCTTTCGCAAATGAATTTCATTCATAAAAGAGCCTGCTTTTTATCTATTGAGATAGGGTTCGATATCACTGGTCTCGATCAAAATGCGAAGGAAGATCAAGAAGGCATTGAAAAATCATCGAAACTCTGTAACGAAACCCTTCTGTTCGTTACATCCATCACCATCGTATTTCGTTTGTGTTTTTAGTAAAAGATCTCATTGAAGAAGAAATCAAAAATGGTATTCCACCAGAACGTGTCGTGAGTATCTATCATTGACTCAATTCTTTTTTTTATATAAACTCCTTCTATTCTAGATTGTTGGCGGTTTCTCCATGTAAGTCTATACTTGAATATCCTCTCGTGAGATTGAACGTTCTTCTCTAGGGGTGGCGCTGTCGCTCTTCATGCAGGTACTTGATCGTTTCATTCTTATAGTTTTCCCAAGTATCTCATTTCTCTAGCATTAACATCTCCTCATACACTTGGTGGTGTTTTGGCTCTATCCACATGGCTTCCATTGTCAACGACATTTCCTCAAGTAAACTTATCTTGCTACAATCAAAATTTTATTGTTGTTCTTCTTCTTAGGCACTAATTTCCGGTGATAAAAAGGTAAACCTACCCATTCTTCAATGTCATGGTATGAACCAAACCAACCAGACGATTATGTATGCATAGTTTATCATTCTATGTAGGTGACAGTGATCCAATGGTTCAATTACGATGGGCACGTATGACTGCCGATGGTGTGAAAGCCATGGGCTTTAAACAATATTCTTTTCAAGAATATAAAAATATGGGTCACTCATCATGCGATCAGGTAACTCAATTTGCTCGAAAGATACAAATCAGTCAATTGAATGTGCATTTTCTTCTAGGAAATGACTGATGTCACGTCATTTATTACGAAATATTTACCGAAAACCGACTGACTAATCAAATCGGAACTTTGACTCTTATTATTTGCATTTGATTATTCCTAATATATACTTATGTTCTTCGTTATATCTGCGTTTTCTTCCGTCTTGTCATTTCATTTACATGAAAAATAAACATAATCACATGAGAACACACATGGGCTATCTATGAGACGATTCTTGCGAGTGAGCGATCAAATCCTATCACAAAACCACCTAAGTAGACTGGATTTAAGCAATGTGATTAGGTCCATCAAAAGCGTGTCTCCTACTGCATCAGTTGATTATGACGTATTGATAATACAGATGATATTTGTGAGGGTGAGGGATGGATTAATAACGATGCAACAACGAATGACGAGCAACACTTGAAACAAGTTCTGAGAACTAGCGATGTAATCAAGGGCGGGCATGGTTGAGCGCCGCTCAAACGCCTTTCATTTCCTAGAACTGTTTTTCACAACGAAAGTAATGAAGCACTACGTATTGCCATTCATTCACTCGTGGCGTTTCTTAAATACGATTAAATGGTATAATCCAGTGCATAGATAACTAGTCGTCATCTTCTGGAAGCGTGCGTTCTTTATGACTGTATTCGATACATTGGATAAAAGAAATCTCTCAGTACTTTTGACGAATGCTCCGACGAGATTCCATCGCGTGTATTTTATTGTAGCAAAAAGTGGAGAATGATCGATGGTAAAATCACTGTTTGAGGTCGTTATAAACGAGAAAAAAAAACAGCTTGAATCTACAAAGTGTATTGTATTCCTCAAAAGATAAACTCTGAATTTCTCTACAAAATATGTATAAAACGAGTTCTTCCAATAGATCATTCCGTGGGTATGTCCGATTGGCTGCAGTAAAAATAAAAGATCTCTTATATGCTGTTCGACCACAGTTGACATGGCGTTTGAATAGCGTTTAGGTATGATTATTGCTCGTGGAATTGGAGTTTTTTTAGCTTCGCGCGGACTATTTCGATCAAATAAGTTACAAACAATGACACTAAATTTCAATTGTTCAAATAAAACATCAAAATTCGAAAGAATACTCACTATTTTCTCACATGTAAATGACTACATTTTTAATCCATGCATCTGGATTGATCAAATTCAACAGAGAAATTTCTCGTACTAATATCAATCGATTGAAATCCGATTTAAAAGAAAACGATACAGTGGCTCGTTTTCGTGTATGTTCTCTGCCACCGTTGTTCATCTTATCTATACAGAACATGATTCGAACAGATAAAATGATCTGAACTAATTTGCAACAATGACGATTTGTATAACAACGGAGTTAGAAATGCTAACACTCCTATTTTTTTACTCTGTAGCGGCAGCAACGACAAGAAACACGAGTTCTCTTCTCTCTCTCTACTTTTTCGATGCATAGCTCTGCGAAAGGGTGGTGTCGTACCGAACACGTGCCCATTAATTTGCCTCAGTTTTGTCATGTATTCAATTCAATAAACAAAAAAGTCTTCGTCTTATCTGATTGACAAGTTAAAAAACATATTTTTGTACGAATGCCAATTCGATTCTTGAAATAAAGAATTCACACGTATCTTAAGAATATAAAGCACTTCGTTTATGCATCAAGTTCTCGGATATATAATGTAGAAATGGTAGCCGATTCCATACGCACGATTAATCCACGTTTGTTTTCGTCTTCTCCATTACTTGAGTCTTTGATTGGAAATAGATATCTCTGTCAGTCACAAATGAATCTAAATCACACTTATTACTGGGTTTAGTTGTGAACCAATGGAATTTCGAAGTATTGCAGACAGACAGACAGAGAGAGAGAACCGGACAAACAAGATAATCACGGTAATACAAGGATCAACACATGCTCCGCTTCTCTTTGTTGACCTTGTTATTTTTCGTTTCATCTTCACAATGAAACTATTCCGTTATATGTAGCAGAACTTCGTAAATATGGCAATGAAAAACCATCCCGCTGACACAGAATTCGTCCAACTACACACGAATGTTGCATTCAAACGAAGTTTATTGTCATGGGGCGATCCAGAATCGCTCATTCATACACAGCTCTTCAAATCGACAAGCCGTCGTGTTAGAACGCTGAATGTAATGCATTGCGAATTCATCGAAGAAGCATGGAGTGAACTGAGTGATGCTGGTCTCTTGGAATCCTCACTCTGCCAAAGCGACCTTTTGTGCTGAATAACTTCTTCTCATTCATCGGCATAGTCATCTGTATCACGAACCTGATGCTTCAATTCGTTAATCTCAATGTGACGATTAGGAAAAGGTCCGATCGTATTCTTTCATTGCACTGAACATCGTTCCAGCTAACATTCATGTTTTGTATGGCGTTATCTTGACACGAACAAATTTCGTCATGAGAGATCCGTCTCGTTCAAACAACAGCAACGAAGTTTACATCAAGTAAATTCAATGGGTACGTGAACGAATCATTCCAAACTATCGAGAAGCAATACGTGTTCTTGTCGTCGGACTAGCTGTTCAAAGTTTAGCCTTTTGTTGAAATCTCTTTGCTTTCGTAACTGTCATTCTCTGTTTTGTAGTCGCACTGTTTCATTCAGATTCGACAATGCAAGATCGTTCTTCTTTTTTTAGGTGCTGAAATGGACTTCCAGAATAAATATAACATATTGGGAAGCGAAATTGCTACGACTCGACACAAGCCATGGCTCTGAAGTAAGCGGTAATCGATGAACAGAATAAAAATGAACAGCTCCAAGTAAAATTTTTCTTCAGTGAAAGCGACTTTCGATGTTACTGTGGTTTCTTCAAAGAAGGTATCAGTCAGAAAAATCAGATTCTCCGACGTGATGACCACGAAATCCAGACACTTCCATTTACAGAATGAAAAAGCCACATCGAAGAACGCCTGAGAAATTATAATCGCCCTTCACCAAACAAGGAAAAAGTGAGTGAGAAGACGAATTTGTTCGATTTCGACGTATGAAAATACCTCTCAGTTAGCCTTGACAGTGACAGCTTTGTAACACATGCAGAGAATCTTCTAGTTGGTTGTAACTATGCCTTTTTGACGGACAAGTAATGAACTGACGAGACAAAACTTTCCAGACGTGATTTCACGTGATTTAGTGTTTCTTGAAGAACAATAACAGTACAGGTTTTGCCGATCTACCTAGTATGTTCGTTTCATCAAGTTAGAATACACTTGCTTTTGCCACGCAAAAGTCAGTACTGCCTTTCTTCTTTGGTGTTCAGGGGAACTTTTCATTTCAGTGGGTGTGATAGACTAATAATTAGCTATTTGTCGGTAAAGCAGAACAACGATTATGAGAAAATGAATGCACCCGATGGTGTGCTCAATCAACTCTTCCAGAAATGAGCAAATAATTTCTCGTATTTGCGAGAAATCTGTTCGAATGTCATTTGAATTGGTAAATACAGGAGACGATATTCATGAATGTCGGCATGTGTTGTTCCTAGATTTATGGTCACCCGATGCTGCTGATCAACTTGAAGCGAAAGTAGTCGATGATTGAAGTGAATTTCAAGGCAGCGTACTGCTTCACTATGATATGAAAGTGCATGAACATGGAGTGAAATGTGAAACGCTTGCCCTCTTGTAGATCTTCATAGATATGGTGGCAACAAACTATGTTAGGAATATGAACTGAATGTTTCTCGTGTACATATTTAACAGCCACTGATGGATGCATAATAGCAGTATTAAGAGAATTCTTTCTCTCGACATTGGGATTTGGTTTTTCTCTTATTTTCTTTTCGTTCTTCGCCCAATTGGGAGAAAAGCTGAATATTGAAAATTTCTCTCTTTTCAGATCATGACTTGCGCAAGAATAAGAGTCAAAATACATGGTAGTACTCAAGTAATCCTGCTTCCTATCGACAGTGATCGTGGGCTGAGACTCGGAACGTTTAATTGTTATTTTCAAGCGGCGAAAGGGATCGCGTATTACAACGATGCGCACGCAATTGTCGGGTAAGTTGTACTGGATGCGTTGATAGTTGAATCGTGCTTTATTTCAGATTGGACTTCAACGACGAATCACGGAAATTTTTTCCTGGTCCGAACGAAGAATGGCAAGAAAACATTGATTATTTTCCAACATATGCGAGCAAGTCGATCAAACAGTTTCCGATGAAAATCCACATATATCAGTGTTTGTTTAGATGGTCAGTTGACTCCACCGTCTGCAAATGAAGCGGCTTCGTCAGCAATAACGTCCTGTTTGACTTTCGATAAGGGTAAGTGACTGTTCACGGTCGATTTCTCGTACAGAAGAATCTTATCAACCCGAATTTTCTGCTTCTTTGGGTATCCGCAGTTCGTATACCAATGCAAGCAGAAAGCGAAATATTTTCATGAAACCTTTCATCAAAAAGTAATCAGGTGTTAGAATCATGAGTATGGCATTCGTTTTTTCATCGAATTGATTAGTTCTTTTGGAAATCAGCGCTGTCTATGAGAATTATCGGTGTAAAGGATGACGCATTTAATGTACACTTTTGGGAGTTGTAACAACGAAAAGATCGGTAGAACGAAGATTGCACGAGAAAGAGCAGAACGTATCTACAGACGAGCGTTGCCTGCCCCCTCAAATATTCTCATGGATGTGGTCTTCATTTGAATGTCAGATTAGCAAGTCTTTTCAAATGAACTATGGTTTCGATGTGAAGAGTCAGAGCGAAGTATGACACAGGTTCTTTTTTTGGAGTAGAAAATCTTTTTGCACGAAGAATAGGGAATGATTGTTGTTGGTAGATGTGTCTCTATGTGATGTAGCAGTGGCTTAGGAGACTGAAACCAATGGAAAATATCGACATAGTCAAATTCAAATACGTTTGTGGATAATTAAAGATTAACAAGCGTCAGTTCATGGACAGCACTGGGTCGTTCCCTGGCACGATTGTTTCTCTCTCACCGAAAGATTCGATCGAAGAACGAGATTTTCGCCTGACATTAGCCTGAGTCTGGAGAATTTGTCGACGACGGCGTGTAACACATCTACTGACAGAATTGGCCTATTTTAGGTGTTAGTATTTCTGATCGAATTTACAGATGGTTTATGGGACATTCGTACGAAAAGCAAAAAGATGACTAAATGTCAATCTAATCAGTATGTATAGGTATTTATGGTAAGAGTGTGTTTGTACTACGCTTCTGCTTTGTCTGTCCTTTTTGCTTGACCATTCTCATTGAGGATGTACCACATCCGCTTCCCATTGGAATCTATTCTAGAAATAGAATCGAATGTGATTGGAATTGGCATGCGCTTAGTTCTAATGCCAAGCGATGAGAATGGAGATATGGATAACAACATGATACTCACAACCACTTCTAGCCTATGAGTATTTTACCCATCTCCGATTTGCTGAACATGTCCATACTGCTTTATAGTACTTAAAGAGGTGTTTTTGCTCACGAAGTCACTTACTTCATGATTTTTGTATATTTTGCATGACTGAATTTTCACTAATTTCCTTTTTTGAAATTTTAGTGAATGTGAACATGCTACTAGCGAGTGCCATCATGGCCGTGACAATCAATCTGATATTTAGTGCGATCGACGGCGGCTCAAAGCAAGTGTCGAGCAACCCGGGTCGATCATTCGGGCGACTGGATCCGTTCAAATGTGAGTCGGTTCCGGCATAGTTTTCGCCGATTCCAGCAGGTTCCTTGCCGCCGGATTCCGACCGGAATTGCACAGGAAATATCCGATCAGTTCTTGACCCTTTCCAGCTCGAAGTTTGCAGGAAATGACTGGAACCTACGTTTGAACTTCCGACCGGAACCGACCGTGCCATAATAACCTGGGAAGGAGTTTTTTTTATTAAATTTCTCGCCCTGGCCGTTCTTCTTTATATTGCGCTCTATATTTCTCTTTGGTTTTGTTGCAAAAAACAAAGATAGTTCAATGAAAACCCCATTGAACACATGCACTACTGTCTTTCTCCATCATGAAGCGTTCTGTTCACATTATCTCAAGAAAGTTTCACTTTCCTTGTACAGAAAAAAAAACACTTCGTGAATACTACGAGGAATATTATCATGCCCATGCAGAAATCGTCCACCTATACACAGATGTTGCATTCAAACGAAGTTTATTGTCATGGGATAATCAAGAATCGCTCACTCATACACAGCTCTTCAAATCGACAAGCCGTCGTGTTAGAACACTCAAAAAAATTAAGGAGTTTTACCGAACCTAAAAGGTTTCCTATACTTCGACTGAACGATTTTAAGCTCAGAAAAACGAACAATGTTCCGTGCTTGAACTACCGAACTATTTTAAGTTCCGTAGCGTCGAGAAGGTTCGGTAATTGGTAGCAAAAACCATCCACAGGTTTTTAATGCGGTATGCGAAACCATTCGTAGTTCTGTAACATGTCTACAGAACCATGAGCGGTTTAGGAATGTGATGAGACGTTTGGTCAATTTTCTACGAAACTATTCCTAGTTTAGCAGGCAAGTTGATGGATCAGACGATTTCACACCGACGCATCGATGGTTCGTCAGTTTTCAAAAAGTTTAGAACATTTTAAACTAAACTAGACTTGGTTTCGTGTGGAATGGTCGAAACCAATAACGAGTTTGTAAATTCTTAAAAGCTCAGTACATTCAATACAAACCCCTGCGGGGTTTCGTATGTCTATCAAAGGTTCAGTGTTTTCAGTACTGATCGGCTCTGAGTTTCGCATAGCATGTACGAATCTTTATAAATTCCGAAAATTAACCAAAAGTTCTGCATGCTCATCACTAAACTCACCATGGTTCTGCATGTCTCGTACTCAACCAATGGCATATCATTTATGTTTTCGAAGGTTCAGTATAGTACATGCGAAACTTTTCATCATCCAACTGTGTCTTTGAAGGCTCGGTTTCATGTACAAAGAACTATTCATAGCTTCGTATAAGTTCATAAAGCTAACCCACGACTTATACTGAACGATTAGGACCTCAGTAAGAAAAAGCAAGGTTTCGCAAACATAATACCGAACATTTTTGCCTTAGTCAAGTTGGTATTGGTTTTGTGCGTTTTATACGAAACGATCCAAAATACTGCCAGCTCCGAAACGGTTCCGTACCTTTAGCATAAAACTATCTAGAATTCAACAGCTCGTATAAAGGTTTCGTTTTCGTTACACAGAACGGTACATACTTTCATGTACTACAAAGACGTTGTGCATAACTTCTGTAGAACCATCATTAATGTCGTATTTTGGCTTAGGGTTGTCCAGATTTCTAGCAAAATCACCCAAGGTTTTCGTGAGCTCCCTCATGATTTGTTAATAGCTTTGCAAAACTATCAATAGTTCAGAGAAACTTCTGCGGAAATACCAATAGCTTCGTACAGTAATCGCAAGTTCGGTAGGATTTATTCAAAACTATCAAGGAACTCGCAGAACGTGTAACTGTTCGGCAGAAGTTCTTCGAAATCATCAGCGATTCCGTGTACTTATTCATGATTTGATGAAATTTAGACCAAACTAATATCGGTTTATTTTTCTCGCGTAAGATTCGGCAGAATTCATGCCAAACTATTGCTGGCTTTGTATACTAGTCAGAGGTTTGATAAATATACACTAAACTATGACGAGTTCTGTATGCCTCTGATTAGTTCAGTATAACCTTTGGGAAATCATTATCTACTCCGTCGAATGAATGAAGGCTTGGCAGTATTTGTACCAAACTATCCCTACTTTCGTATAGCGGCTCAAGGTTTCCCATAATTTACTCGTATATACAAATATATTTTTCTACTGGTCAGTAGTTACGTATAAGTTCCGCAAAACAATTAATGATCTCATAATTATTGTTCCTGTTCGGCGAACCCTCTACCAAACCATTGATATCTGCCGTTGGTTCAGTTAGGAAAAGGAGAAGACTCATTGAAAGACATAGCCCTTTACACCAGCCGACGTCAAGTTTTCAATAGACCGTCCGGTGAGACCCTATAAATATCCATGCATTTTTCATTTTCTATTTATTTTTAGTCTTTCTCACTAGTCCTCACTGTATCGATGCAAATCTATCGACGGAAAATTCTGAATAGCCTGCCATTCAACTAGGTAAGTGATAATTTTTAATAAAACACATTCTATCGTCTTTCTCGTTTAGAGTTGATCGCAATGGATCTACTAGAATGGCTAGAACCTACTTCCATGTTCGTGTCACGATGAAAGGGTGGGCGAAGGTGTGTGGACGTTCGAAAGGTAGTTTTGAACGATATATTTTGTAGCGGCTGAATCCGGAGCCTATAGGGCGATAACTATAAAAGAGTCTGTGACTAACCCAAGAGAACAACTAACACAACGAAGGTTTCGCAGCTATGGATTTTCACGAAACCTTTTTTAATATAGTTACAGATGGTTCCGTACGCTACCTACGATACGGAACCTTCTGTCTTTTGAAGAAAAAAAGTTTCGTACTAAACCTTTCCTGCGGAACCTTTGCTCTCAATTTTTCCTGTAAGGTTCTCTTCGGAACCTTCATTTTACTTAACAAAAAAAGGATCGTCCCGTGTATCGGAGGGAAGATCCTTTATTGGTTTGGTAAAACTCCTTTTTTTTACAGTGTACAACACATACAGACTATTACTACACGGTTGTATTCGTTGTTGGTACTCATTTGTAAACAAACAGAGACTAAATGTGCGCAAATACCGCGATTAAAAGCAAGAATATCTGTATTTAGATGATGATCCTTTGCATACTTTCAGTCCACTCGATTTATATGAGTGTATTTTGACCAAGTGCTGTTAACTCTTTGCAAACAGGCGGGCTATATACATACCATTTTAGATCCACCTCTAAACGTAGTAATACTACATGTATAAATTCAGTCTGCGGCGGCTCCAGATAGCCAAAATCCACTTCTGTTCAATGATCATCATCTCGTGCGAGTTTTCAATCACCAATACGTGCAGAGAACTCAAAGGCAAGTATCTAAACCCTATGAAATGTACGTTCTCTTACAGTGTAATGTTAAAGAACACTACGAATATATATGTCATATCTTAGCGCACAGACTATGATGTTGAATTACGCACAGATGAGCGGTTTCAGCTTTGTCATCATTCAAGAGATAGATCTCAGAGCAAGGGTACAATAGGCCCCTATCATTAAATTTCATACGACTTCAAACTTCAGAGCGTTTCAAACAGTGTCGAGATGTTCGATTTAAGCAAACCATAAACACAAAGCCCTGTTATCAGAATGATATACAAACGAGCTCGAAAATATATTGCAAAGCTCTTTCCACGATAAACTACTCCAAAAAACACTTCCCTGATATTTTAACATGGATAAGCACCAAGAGTGAATAGTGCTGCTCATATTCGACAAAATAACTTCTTTTCAGACTACGCTGATGGTGGGAAATGATTAATCTAACAGAACGATTAGGTGTGCTATTTTATAATTATTCTCTCTTCCCTACGTCATTCTAGTCAGCTTATAACAGTGTTTCTTTCAAACGCACCGTAGAACACATACATAACGGAAGAATACCACTCTCTCCAAAAATGAACCACAAAAAGAAATAAATAAAAGCTCCTCATCAAACAATCAATACATTTAGGCTTTGGAATAAAAACATGCAACAGCTTTCTTATAATGTAGAATCGCTGCCATTCAGTGTACCACACCCTGATCACATTGGCATTGGTAGAAATAACATCTGAACTGCGTACGTGCTGTACTATCATCGATCCCATTCTTCTACATCTCCAATATAGTTGAGCTGTCTACAGTAATGTTGTCTTGTCCATCATACCCTCCCAGAAACAAACTCTAAACCGAGAGGATCACTCATAAACGCATCGCACTATGGCGTCTCTTCTACAAAACACTACTCCGTTATACCTTCGTAACTAAACCATTCATTTCATCGATGTACATGAATTTCTCAGGGAAAAAAGCATTACCATTCAGGCAACATCCACTTCTTCAAAAAACATCCCCTTTCTATACCTTTATTACTCATCAATGTCACCATGATCACACAACAAATGATATCTAGTAAGTTCTCAATCGAAAAGGATCTGATCAACACAAAGAGCCATCAGATCCACAGTCAGTTGTTCTCCGATTGAATTTAAAGCCAGATATATACCATCTTGGCGCTCTAAGGATGAGACAAAACAGAAATTACAAACTTCTTCGACCACAGCATTAATCTTACTATATTCCTTTCCAATGCATCTGCAATGCGTTGAGCTATTTCATCCCAGATTTTGTAGCGCTCGAGTTCAAGTGTGGTGAGTGTCTGTAGTTGTGATATAGACTGAATGCTTCATCTTCTATTAAATGAGATCAATATTACCGTATTCGCTCCCAGCGCATCCGCAATGTGTTGTGCTCCTTCAGCACCGATTCTGTTGTAACTGAGGTTTAGTGTGGTGAGTGTCTGTAGTTGTGATATAGACTGAATGCTTCATCTTCTATTAAATGAGATCAATATTACCGTATTCGTTCGCAACGCATCCGCAATGTGCTGTGCTCCTTCAGCACCGATTTCGTTCCAACTGAGGTCTAGTGTAGTGAGTGTCTGTAGGTGTGAGATAGACTGAGTGCTTCATCTTCGATGAAATGAGATCAATATTACCGTATTCGTTCGCAACGCATCCGCAATGTGTTGTGCTCCTTCAGCACCGATCCCATTCTCATGGAGGTGAAGTGTGGTGAGTGTCTCTAAGTGTGATATAGACTGGGTACTGCATATTCTTTGAAATAAGATCAATATTACCGTATTCATTCGCAACGCATCCGCAATGTGTTGTGCTCCTTCAGCACCGATTCCGATGCCGCTGAGGTGAAGGGTAGTGAGTGTCTGTAGGTGTGAGATAGACTGAATGCTTCATCTTCGATGAAATGAGATCAATATTACCGTATTCGTTCGCAACGCANAATTAATGATCTCATAATTATTGTTCCTGTTCGGCGAACCCTCTACCAAACCATTGATATCTGCCGTTGGTTCAGTTAGGAAAAGGAGAAGACTCATTGAAAGACATAGCCCTTTACACCAGCCGACGTCAAGTTTTCAATAGACCGTCCGGTGAGACCCTATAAATATCCATGCAATTTTCATTTTCTATTTATTTTTAGTCTTTCTCACTAGTCCTCACTGTATCGATGCAAATCTATCGACGGAAAATTCTGAATAGCCTGCCATTCAACTAGGTAAGTGATAATTTTTAATAAAACACATTCTATCGTCTTTCTCGTTTAGAGTTGATCGCAATGGATCTACTAGAATGGCTAGAACCTACTTCCATGTTCGTGTCACGATGAAAGGGTGGGCGAAGGTGTGTGGACGTTCGAAAGGTAGTTTTGAACGATATATTTTGTAGCGGCTGAATCCGGAGCCTATAGGGCGATAACTATAAAAGAGTCTGTGACTAACCCAAGAGAACAACTAACACAACGAAGGTTTCGCAGCTATGGATTTTCACGAAACCTTTTTTAATATAGTTACAGATGGTTCCGTACGCTACCTACGATACGGAACCTTCTGTCTTTTGAAGAAAAAAAGTTTCGTACTAAACCTTTCCTGCGGAACCTTTGCTCTCAATTTTTCCTGTAAGGTTCTCTTCGGAACCTTCATTTTACTTAACAAAAAAAGGATCGTCCCGTGTATCGGAGGGAAGATCCTTTATTGGTTTGGTAAAACTCCTTTTTTTTACAGTGTACAACACATACAGACTATTACTACACGGTTGTATTCGTTGTTGGTACTCATTTGTAAACAAACAGAGACTAAATGTGCGCAAATACCGCGATTAAAAGCAAGAATATATGTACTTAGATGATGATCCTTTGCATACTTTCAGTCCACTCGATTTATATGAGTGTATTTTGACCAAGTGCTGTTAACTCCTTGCAAACAGGCGGGCTATATACATACCATTTCAGATACACCTCCAAACGTAGTAATGCTACATGTATAAATTCAGTCTGGGGTGGCTCCAGATAGCCAAAATCCACTTCTGTTCAATGATCATCATCTCCTGCGAGTTTTCAATCACCTATACGTTCAGAGAACTCAAAGACAAGTATCTAAACCAAATGAAATGTACGTTCTCTTACAGTGTAATGTTAAAGAACACTACGAATATATATGTAATACCTTCGCGCACAGACTATGATGTTGAATTATGCACAGCTGAGCGGTTTCAGCTTTGTCATCATTCAAAAGATAGATCTCAGAGCAAGGGTACAATAGGTCCCTATCATCAAATTTCATACCACTTCAAACTTCTGAGCGTTTCAAACAGTGTCGAGATGTTCGATGTAAACACACCATAAACACAAAGCCCTGTTATCAGAATGATATACAAACGAGCTCGAAAATATTTTGCAAAGCTCTTTCTACGATAAAGTACTGTGAAAAAACTTCCCTGATATTTTAACATGGATAAGCACCAAGACTGAATACCGCTGATCATATTCGACAAAATAACTTGTTTTCAGACTACGCTGATAGTGGGAAATGATTAATCTAACAGAACCATCGGGTTTGCTATTTTTTAATTATTCTCTCTTCACTATGTCATTCTAGTCAGTTTATAACAGTGTTTCTTTCAAACGCACCGTAGAACTCCTACATAACGGATGAATGCTACTCTCTCCGAAAATGAACCACAAAAACAAATAAAACCTCCTCATCAAACAATCAATACATTTAGGCTTTGGAATAAAACATGCAACAGCTTTCTTATAATGAAGAATCGCTGCCATTCAGTGTACCACGGCCTGATCACTTTGCCATTAGTAGAAATAACATCTGAGCTTCATACGTGATGTACTATCATCGATCCCATTCTTCTACATCTCCAGTATAGTCGAGCTGCCTACAGTAATATAGTCTTGTCCATCATACCCTGTCAGAAACAGACTCTAAACCGAGAGGATCATTCATAAACGCATCCCACTATGGCGTCTCCTCTACCAAACACTGCTCCGTTATACCTTCGTAACTAAACCATTCATTTTGACTAATGCACATGAATTTCTCGCGCAACAAAAAGCATTAACATTCAGGTAACATTCACTTCCCACAACAACATTCGTTTTCTATACCTTTATTACTCATCAATGTCCCGATGACCACACAACAAATGATATCTACTAAGTTCTCAATCGAAAAAGATCTGATCAACACAAAGAGCCATCAGATCCACGATCACTTGTTCTGCGATTGAATTGAAAGCCAGACCTATACCACCTTGGCGCTCTAAGAATGAGACAAAACAGAGATTACAAACTTCTTGGAGCACAGCATCAATCTTACTATATTCCTTCCCAATGCATCTGCAATATGTTGAGCTACTTCATCACCGATTTTGTTGTCGTAGAGGTTAAGTGTGGTGAGTGTCTGTCGGAGTGAGACCGGCTGAGTGCTTCATCTCTAATAAAATGAGATCAACATTACTGTATTCGTTCGCAACGCATCCGCAATGTGTTGTGCTCCTTCCGCACCAATTGCGTTCGCACGAAGGTCAAGTGTTGTGAGTGTCTGTAGATGTGAGACAGATGGAGTGCTTCATCTCTAATAAAATGAAATCAATATTACCGTATTCGTTCGGAGCGCATTAGCAATGTGTTGTGCTACTTCAGCACCGATTTCGTTCCAACTGAGGTGAAGTGTGGTGAGTGTCTGCAGGTGTGAGATAAACTGAGTGGTTCATCTTCTACGAAATGAGATCAATATTACCCTATTCGTTCGCAACCCATCTGCGATGTGTTGTGCTCCTGCACCACCGATTTTGTTCCCTTCCAGGTCAAGGGTGGTGAGTGTCTGTAGGTGTGAGATAGACTAAGTGCTTCATATTCTATGAAATGAGATCCATATTACCGTACTCGTTCGCAGCCCATCTGCAATGTGTTCTGCTCCTGCAGCACCGATTTTGTTCCTACTGAGATGAAGCGTGGTGAGTGTCTGCAGGTGTGAGATAAACTGAGTGCTTCATCTTGTATGAAATGAGATCAATATTACCGTATTCGTTCGCAGCCCATCTGCAATGTGTTGCGCTCCTTCAGCACCGATTACGTTCCTACTGAGATGAAGTGTGGTGAGTGTCTGCAGGTGTGAGATGAACTGAGTGTTTCATCTCTAATAAAATGAGATCAATATTACTGTATTCGTTTGGAGCGCATTAGCAATGTGTTGTGCTCCTTCGGCACCGATTACGCTATTGTCGAGGTCTAGTGCTGTGAGTGTCTGTAGGTGTGAGATAGACTGAGTGCTTCATCTTCTATGAAATGAGATCAATATTACCGTATTCGTCCGCAACGCATCCGCAATGTGTTGCGCTCCTTCGGCACCGATTTCGTTCGTATGGAGGTCAAGTGTGGTGAGTGTCTGTAGGTGTGATATAGACTAAGTGCTTCATCTTCTATGAAATCAGATCAATATTACTGCGTTCGTTCGCAACGCATCCGCAATGTGTTGCGCTCCTTCAGCACGGATTCGGTTCCAACTGAGGTTAAGTGTGGTGAGTGTCTGTAGGTGTGAGACAGATGGAGTGCTTCATCTCTAATAAAATGAGATCAATATTACTGTGTTCGTTCGCAACGCATCCGCAATGTTTTGTGCTCCTTCATCACCGATTTCGTTCCAAATGAGGTTAAGTGTGGTGAGTGTCTGTAGGTGTGATATAGACTGAGTGCTTCATCTTCTATGAAATCAGATCAATATTACGGTATTCGTTCGGAGCGCATTAGCAATGTGTTGTGCTCCTTTAGCACCGATTACGTTCTGATAGAGGTCAAGTGTGGTGAGTGTCTGTAGGTGTGATATAGACTGAGTGCTTCATCTCTAATAAAATGAGATCAATATTACCGTATTCGTCCGCAACGCATCCGCAATGTGTTGTGCTCCTTCAGCACCGATTTTGTTCTCATTGAGGTGAAGTGTGGTGAGTGTCTGTAGGTGTGAGATACACTGAATGCTTCATCTTCTATGGAATGAGATCAATATTACTGTGTTCGTTCGCAACGCATCCGCAATGTTTTGTGCTCCTTCATCACGGATTACGTTATGGTGGAGGTCTAGTGCTGTGAGTGTCTGTAGGCGTGATATAGACTAAGTGCTTCATCTTCTATGAAATGAGACCAATATTACCGTATTCATCCGCAACGCATCCGCAATGTGTTGTGCTCCTTTAGCACCGATTTCGTTCGTATGGAGGTCTAGTGCTGTGAGTGTCTGTAGGTGTGAGATAGACTGAGTGCTTCATCTCTAATAAAATGAGATCAATATTACCGTATTTGTCCGCAACGCATCCGCAATGTCTTGTGCTCCTTCAGCACGGATTCGGTTCCAACTGAGGTTAAGTGTAGTGAGTGTCTGTAGGTGTGATATAGACTGAGTACTTCATCTTCTATGAAATCAGATCAATATTACGGTATTCGTCCGCAACGCATGCGTAATGTGTCGTGATCCTTCGGCACCGATTCCGTTCTGATAGAGGTCAAGTGTGGTGAGTGTCTGCAGATGTGAGATAGACTGAGTGCTTCATCTTCTATGAAATGAGATCAATATTACGGTATTCGTTCGCAACGCATCCGCAATGTGTTGTGCTCCTTCAGCACGGATTCGGTTCCAACTGAGGTTAAGTGTGGTGAGTGTCTGTGGGTGTGATATAGACTGAGTGCTTCATCTTCTATGAAAGCAGATCAATATTACCGTATTCGTTCGGAGTGCATTAGCAATGTGTTGTGCTCCGTCAGCGCCAATTTCGTTCCCATTGAGGTCAAGTGTGGTGAGTGTCTGTAGGTGTGAGATACACTGAGTGCTTCATCTCTAATAAAATGAGATCAATATTACTGTGTTCGTTCGCAACGCATCCGCAATGTTTTGTGCTCCTTCATCACCGATTTGGTTATCCTGGAGGTTAAGGGTGGTGAGTGTCTAGATTGAAGTAGTATGTAATGAAAAGCGGAAGTAGTAAAGAGAACTTTTGGTGGCACTTCCGATGGCATGTATGTGATTTGAAATAGGTATGTGTGGGGTAGATTTTTAAGGAGGAGTTGGGTGTAGATGGGAATTCTGCGGGTGGATGATGATGCTAGTTGTTGTTGAGGAAAGAAGTGCTGTGTCGAGAATCTAGGCTGGATATTACTGTGATAGGATGGAGTTGGAAAGAGTAGGGCATAAGTTTCAATATGTATTGGTGGTAATGAGAAGTCTCTTTTGAAGACGCGGTCCAGTGAAATCTAAGTCCTACTCTTCTGAAATGTAGGAGCGGAATTTAATGTAGCCGTGTTGAGAATGAATATTGGGATAGGTCAAAGAACTGTACAGTGTTGTTTGCTTCAGTAGATGAGTTCCCTCAAAAGTTGTAATTGACGCAATTTTTGTCTCGAGTAGTGCAACGCAGAAACGGTAACGCATAAGTAAGCGTTTTGCTCGTTCATGGTCGCGTATCGGTCGAATGGATCCTCAATCTACATAGAACAAATGGGAGAGAGTGATGGAATACTGGATTTCATATGACTTCTGGCTGTGATTGTCTTATCCTAGGAAATTGTTTGTGAATTATGAAATTAGTTTGGTTAGTCCTATGAGGGAATCTACGACATCAAATACCATTAAGCTTATGTATAGCACAGTCGACAAGAATGTTAGGATACGAAGTAAACTTACTTGATATCGCTGATAAGTACTCAGGATCTGATTGAGCCGTCGACAGATATTTTGCATTGAACAAAATAGCGTCCGGCCATTTTGATGATCCATAATTCGATAAACTAGTTCGACAGGTAATGTTGAAAATGTGTGCATGTTGTATTTCAATCGTGCAGCAGACTGTACCGTAGAGACTGGAAGCGATGAAAAATATTTAGTTTTGTTCGTTATCAGTAGTAATTCATGGTGATGATGTAGATATATATGTCTTTGACGAAAACAAATGACGTGTAATCATTTCAACTGTTATGAATTGTTGGCGTGCGCAGATAGATGGCATTAGAATACGTATGCGCAGTGAATTCTGTTTTCACAGTTACAATGGTAAATTAAAAAATTGAAAACAGGACATCTTTTATGGCTTTGGCTCCTTTGGAAACCGATTCTAGTTTCATGAAAAGAAATCAACATTTCTAAATTAATTTTTTTAACTAAAAATTGTAATGGAATATGAAAAACTCTGCAGCTTAGATTAGAGATCTATTTTTATTATGTATGTTTTGTCTTCGAGAACACTAAATGTTACCCAGCAAGTTTTCACTGATAGAGCTTCATGCAGCATTCCTCACGTCAGTGTGTTTGTTTCATTTTTTCAAATCTTATTCGATGATAGATAAAACACAAACAAAAATGATCGCTTCTCAACCTGAAAAAAAACAGTGACATGATCTTTTATTTCTTTTTTAAAGGCAAAAACTATTTAAAAAAATTGAGCTACGGTTTACTGCAGAGGTGACGTTAACTAGAACATTTAAAGTTAAGTTAAATTGCTGTCTCTAAGCTGCGTATCTGGTTTTTGTGTTGAAGGATGAGTTAGAACATTCACCATCTTTCATATAAATAGAATGACAGCTCCCTCATCGAAGTGCTCTAACAATTTGCTGTCAATTCATTTTGATGAATTCATTACCCCCATGGTATTTTAATAAATAAGAAAACGTGGAAAAACTTCGAAACACCAAATGTTATCGATTCTCTTAGGAAACAAGACGTTTAGCTTATTGGAAAAGTTAAACCGCTTTTCAATATCTCTAAACAGATGGTTTTAACGATAATTATGAAATCTACAAGAACGCTGTGGTATCTTACTTTAACACATCCATAGTCCTGCTATCAGCTAACTTCCGATTAGTTTCTTACAATATAATAACTGTGATATACAATAATGCGAGCAGTTACAACGAAGGGCAAAAATAGTACTTAATGTATTATTTGGCTGTGGAGGATAGTATTTTATGTAAAGCGTGCTATGTTATATCGGTTTCACAATATTTTACTCTATGCTTTCTGCAATAAATTATGAAACGAATGGAACTACATTGTTCTAGTACTTCAGCATCGGTTTTCCTTTGCTGAAACACAGATTGCTCATGTGATTTGCCTGAAAATCTATTTTATTCCTTAATTGATGCGCATTCATAGTCCCTCTTACTAAAAGTATTTTCCATGATTTGATTTCACTGGTAATATTAACCCCTTGAGGACAGGATTATTTTTAATAGAGCAAACAAGACTTCACACTCTGGTGGATGCAAGAGACAATGTGTGCGAAGATAAATAAAAAATAGACGATAAATGATAGCGGTGGACTATGATATAGCGAAAAATTAGAAGTGATGAATATAACTACAAAAAGATGAAAGAGGTCACTATACGAATGATAGGATAATGCATTAACGATATACGTAGCGACGTAGATCATTAAAATATCGTAAATAGTATACGCAAATAAATTATCAGTTGATTTCAACCCAGACGTATACATATATCATCCGTTCTCAGGGGGTTAAAAACAGACAACATGGGATGAATCCAATACATCTTATAAATGAAATTTCATGAATATTGGATATCACGAAATATCAGGTGTTATTACCCGTAGTTTCTCAATCACATATCGTGTATATACGTTACCCTTTGACTTTGGAAAGCTTTGCTTTATTGATAATATACTTACAAATACCGTGTTCAATTACGTTATTGAGCTATATGTAGCTGACTGGACTGGACGTCATTTGAATATGTTCTTTTTTCTTAGAATAGCTAAAGCTTTTCCATTGGTAAAAACCTTTTGTATTTGGAATACTACTCCGCAGTCAAATAATGTGGAGAAATCATCTAGTAGTAATTCAGTCGAATGAAATCGTTCAATGGCATCATCTTACCTCACTTGAGATTGGAACAACTGATATTACTTATATCTGTTGGCTTGAAAGATCATAATGCATATTTTCCTTTATTGTAAATTAGTTTTCATTGAATGTATTTGCCAATCTGAGTCGAAAATAAACTTAATTGTTTCGTTTGCTACTACCAACAAGTAGCGCTCATCTGTTGGATCCGCTGACCCTATTCTGAAAGAATTACAAGACTCAAATAAAAACTCTAACGTATATCACACTCTAATCCGCTTCGAATTAAAGCCACTTTTATGCAGATTCTTTTTTTTTAATCCTTTTCTACTTTATTCATGTTAAACTGCTTTCAATTCATTTGTCAAAAGATGTAAGCAAAAGGAACACTGTTTCTAAAGATTTACTAATCGACTCTCTTCCCACTATTTACAATCAAAAATCAATTTACTTACACTTGTTTTATCTCTTCTAAGCCACCCACACAAGCACCTGGTCGCTCGTTGGTCTGCCTCCGTTCGGCCACTCGCGGCTAGCCGTTACATGTCCAACTTTCATTCTTTCATCTAGCTTAAAATCCCCTTCAAATTCAATCAAACCATTTCCTTTCATTCCCTGTTAAAGAATCACCAATGTTGTGCCATTGTGACTGTCCAAAACAACATTTGTTAGAGGAAATATTATTTCGAGTGGTTAGCAGCAGATAATGTTTGTGTAATATAGCTGTTTATATAATTGTAATGTTATCAATATACTGATGAGTATGAGTATCCAGCCGGCGGACGCTAATCAGCTATTTGGTTTTATTCTACATATTGCTGCTTCAAACACTATCGCCCACAAAAAATCTTCCTTGCAAAAAATCGTACTTTTTCTGAAAAAACAGAACAGAATTTTTCTACAGAAAAACTAACACCAGATTCGATATCTTCGACGCCGATTACCCTTCGGTCGAGTCTTACTCAACAACCAAAAAATTTTTCATTGCCTAATTAATAATTAGCTGTTTGAAGTCTCGAAAAACTGATATCGGATTCGAGATCCTCGACCTCGGTTACCTCATCAGTGGTCAATCTTTGATGATTATAGATAAATTTCATTGATTTATAATATACTGCAATCTGATTGGATTATGCAAACAAACTTTATGCATTTTCACGACTGTATTTATGTCGCTATAACCCTTTCTTTCAGAAAAGGGAATAACAGTCAAACAATTAGAAAGTATTAAAGCATACGACTTCGAGATCGAAGGTGATACTAGGCTGAGCATTGTTCAGCTTAATCGCTCTTTGCCAGACATTTGATCGATCGCTTATTACAATGGAACACAATTCATATGTACTATCTGACAAACCTTATGTTAATTTTTTCAATATACATTTCATCTTCATAGACGTGTCAAGCATGATCGAGTGCTTGCATCAAGCGGTTTAACGGGTGTCATGTCACTGCTCAGTTATAATATCGGAGAGAAAGATGATGTTTTATCAATCGCATCGTCATATTTTACTGCTGTCGGCCATGATGTTTGAGTTCTTGCGAACTGCATAACATTCCAATGTCCGTTGCTAGAACACGGCTGGGGTAAATTTATTCTGTCTGTAGAAAACTTTCAACATGGCTATGAAAAGGCGATGGAACAAGATCTTCGTCCCTATGGAATCATTCTTGTTAAACCACAAAATGCAATCGGTGATATCTACGATGAAGAAACCATTAAAACTATCTTAGAATATGCTGCCGAAAAATAACTAAAGGTTATTATTGATGAAATCTAACCATACTATACGCTGGTTCAGAGAGTCTATGTTCTTGTGCACCGGCAATCTATTTCCTTCAGATTCCATCGCCGATCGTTGAAGATTTAGATGAATACATTCATGTTCGGCAAGGCAGAGCAGGCTTTTTCATTTGGATTGATCTTCGTTGATTACTCCATGCAATTACCTTTGAATAAGGGCAACGATTGTTTGAAACTATATGCAGTGATGACATCTATATCAGTACAGGTCAATTTCTTGGATGTTTGCAACCTGGATGGCTTCGTATTATGTTTTCTGTTCGAGAAAACCGGATTGATGAAACGCTCCGACGATTAAAACTAGCATTATGTGTTTACAGTCAGTCACCGATTTCTTCAACGACAAAAACAAACGTGTGTACATAATATAGACACGTGGTTTGCTGTTTTTCTTCGTATTTTTGTTTCACGATGACTTTGCTGTCTGAGAGGGTATCGATCATCTGTCTACTCTATTATAAAACGTGAAAACAAATCTCGCTCAAAACCTAATATCGATGAATTTTCTACAATCTGTGAGTATCAGACGCACGTTCACATTTATTCTCTTACTATTATTTATGAGTGCCATCTCTGTTGGCTTCAAATCCGAACGAAAATTTGACATGAAACAAGGTAGTTTATTGAATACTGGCTGAAGTAGACACGTTCTTATTTGTTTCTCCTTGCCATAGTTTGCGATTCATCGAGAATAACTGAAGTTGGCAAAGCACTGGACGGTTAAAGTCTCACTCGTTTTTCAATTCCAAATGAAATATTAGATCTTGGCAAGAGACTCATTTTTCTCGATAAAAGTTAATCACTCTACGAATGCAAACACGATTTGACTTATCTCTATCAAAAGTAAGCCCGCCAAGTGCACAATTCAACATGAAATCATATCTCTCTCCAGATAAAACATTGACATATTGCCCATCAGTTATTCATGATCCATACAAATTGAAATCAATCAAATTGGGAGCTTACCATATAACCAGAAACACTGGTTGCCGAACATTTTCAATTAAAACAGACGGTCACAAAGTATGCTGACGTAGTTTTATTTGCTTTAGCCCTCGTATGATGATAAACTCCTCCTGGATTGTCGAAATTCACAAGAAACACTTTCATGCTTACAATACATAGAGTGTCAAAATCGAAGTCAATCAAGATCCTACTGTTGTTTTACTTACCACCATCGGTATCGATGAAATTCATCAGCATTAGTCTCTTTTTTTACCTTTATTTATTTAAACAATAAATCAAGCTTTTGAAAATAAATTCGATTTTCTTACATCGAGGGTGTGAAAGATTAACAAAAAGAAAGAAAGAAAGCTGTAATTATCTGTCGCTCAGCGATTCCGTTCAAGAAGAATGTTCTTATACTTTTGATGGATCGATGTGGCAGACCATCTTACCGGAAATTTTATATAGTGAATTTCTTACGTGTGCACATATTTTTCATCCTGTTTTGTCAGGATGAAACCAAGTTTCCCAATCAAATGATCTATTCAGCAAAAGTTATTCGACGTGGCTTATTCAATGAAAACGTTGACAAGTTCAATGAACTGAAGGCCATCGATACTGATCTTGCTTTATTAAGATTAAAGAATGAAATTTTGAGCCTATCGAACGATAAGCTTTTTGATCGAAAAATTGAGTGGGACCTCATCGGATATCTCCATCAAATCATTATTATTTCTTGCTGAATGTAATCGAAAACTCGAAAACAACAAGAATTAGTGTCATATACGTCTCATCCTGGTTTCTCGTGGGCACTTGTCTCTGGTACGAAAAAAGTGAACTTATCCGTCCTTCCATGCCATGATAATCCGACGATCATGTACATTGAGTTTAACGTTCTATGCCATGCGAAAATCCACTAAAGACCGACTGACTAATAAAATCTGAACTTTAACTATTATTATTCGCATTTGACTATTCCCGATTCGTATCCATGTTCTTCTTTTCATATCTACGTTGTCTTCTGTCTGTCCATTGTACTTACGTGAAAAAATGAATAAACACATATGTATGTGGTTTTCATGTGACTTTATTCGTCATACACACTACAATGCATGAATACTTATGGGAAAACAAGCGCTAGGTGGTGTTTATCTGACTACAGCAACATTTATTTATGTGCTGAAGCTTGCTGCTGCAGCTGCTGTTGTTGTTCGAAGATTTCTTTCCATTGTGAGGGCATCACATCGAGTAGCTCTTGATAAAACGTTTGCATACGCGAGCGCGTTGCTGATCGACCAAACTGTGTCACAAAGCTACCTAGATTGACTTGATTGGTCTCATCGATAGTTGTTAAGATGTCATTCGCCATTCGTTGTACATTTTTCCGTGCACGTTCATTTTTCAATGATGTATCATCGGAAATGGATAGATTTAGATTATAAGCGTCGGCGAATTCTTCGAGATTTCTTAATTTACGTGCCAAGGTGATTTGTGACTTATTTCGATGTCTGAACAGTTTGTGATGTTCAGTTGTTTTGCTATCGACTTCGACTTCTTGTTGATTATCTCCAATAGGTAATGCTGATGGATTTGTACCAGTCATCTCCTTCCAAATATTAACAAGACCAGTAACGTCACGACGTTGTCTGGTTTTATTTTGCCCACGCACGATACGAACATCATCATGCCAAAATTGTGCTAGGAAAGAAAATAGTGAGATGCATGGCACCGAAAAGTATTAATAGAATCAGTTATACCAATTTCATCATCGCGAACGATTGGAACGACTTCTTTGATTCGTAAGATAACCATCGATACGACTATAGTTTAAAACGAGAGAATGTGCCTTCTATTGCAACAATCAAACATGACGTACCGATAATACAGATAATATTTGTCATAGTTAGTACAAAGGAACAAATTCCCAATAGTCCTGTCTCTGTGGCCATGTGACATGAATAGATTGGTTTGTAATCATTTCCAACGAACTTTGTACAGTTTTTGGCCGCAGCCGTGAGGGCATCGATCTTTTTGTGAGGTTCGAATGTAGTGGACTCTTCTCCAATGGCTGGTATGAGTGCTGATAGGAACGCATAACTAGAGAGAAGGCCAGCGTTCACAGCTGGTGGTAGAAGACTGGCACTGATCGCAACACCAACCTAAGTACATCATATCAAAATACTTCGGCCTCTTATTCACGGAATATATTCATACAAGACTTCCTATATTTCCACCGAGAACACTCAGAGCTGCACCTGCTCCAGAGGGTAACGCGACGAGAGCACCAGCCCATAAACGACGAATATCACCTCTGCATTGAAACAATGCGTACAATCAAAATAAAGGAAGTTTTTGTTTCTTTGTTAGTACCTGGAACGCATTTCATGCGTGGGGAAAGAATCCGATGAGCCCCATCGTGTTTCTGACCATGTTGTACACAATCCAACAACAAATCCTGTTAGTATCGCCACGAACAATCCAATAGCTTCTGTTTTCAGTCCAACTTTCCACAATCGCGAATCGCCAATACATAAACCGAATACAATACCCAATATCGGACCCTAACAATAAAAGATTTTTTTTCTCCTCATTTAGCTTCTATTGTGAACTTACCATTAACGGAGATACTAACATTGAAGCAACTAGAATCCTAAAAGAGAAAATAGATTTTGTTTGCTGAGCTAGAATAAATAACTTTACACTGAATTATCTTCTAATAAACCTAACAGGGCAATGATCGACGCCAGTATTGTTAGTAGAAGAAAATCAAATGAAAACAATGTTTGTCCACGTATAGCATTCACAACTTGTAAGACCGTTAATCTTGCTCGGATGCTTCGTTTGAAATCACTTTGATTTGTTCCCAATCGCTCGTGTAATTCTTGATCGTCACTTGTTAGCGGTTGAGATTCATTTTCTAATTCTTTGCCTGGATCATTAATTTCCACGATTGCTGGAGTTGTCGACGTCAGACTGTGAATTCCAAGTGCACACGAGAGAGGAAGAATGAATACTTTCGAACCTGGACGAATGCCTATTTCTGCCAAACGTAATTCTTCCAGGATATAATCAGAATGTTGACCGAGCTCAGCAAAACATGTAATAAAGAAATGTTCATGATCATCAGAAAGTATCTATGGAAGAGAATAACATCGTTTTGAAAAAAATCTGGTATCGAAAGTCGATCATACCCAGATAGCATCGACGAGATTCAGTTTTGAACAAAGATGAGCACGGAAACGCGATGTTAAAGAAGATCCGCATGCCGCACAAGGAAATTCTTTTGAATGTTCGCTTTCTGATACTGTCGTTTGAATAGGTAGATCAATTGGATCTTTAATAGTCTGTACAGCATCGAAAGTTTGTTGTTGTTCAGTATTTAAATCGTTCGGAATGATAATGATCAAAATACCTTGACCAGCCATTGATTATATCAATAAAGCACCGTCTGAACTATGTACTACTGTTCTCTACTGAAAAGAATGACGCGGTTGTTATGGTATGCACATGTCTAACTACGTGCTCGAGAACGGGCAATGGGAGGAGAACGAATGAAGCATTACAGTCATTTTTTACTTTATAACGGTATGTTTATTCTTTAAAGTAATCATCCCCATGATTATATAAGCACATCAAAGTTGATGCATTCATACCAATCGTTCAAAAAGATTACAAAACAAGTTTATCGACTTGTGTACAAGAAGTAGTCGCAAAGACGTGAGTACTTGTTCTCTATTTTTGGATGCACCAGCAGAGTGTGTGCTCACTTTAAATAAAAATTATACATGCATCATTACGTCAGAGTTCAAATGTCATGTTAACGCCTGACTGCTTGGCACCTTAAGACGTGTCTATATAATGACTGGTTGAGAATAAAAACGTATTAAATTCTCTTCTGTTTCACATAGCTCGTTTTTGCACTTGAACGAACAGTATTTCAAAAACAAAATACTGATATGCAGTGTTAACTCGAGGTAATATCGATTTAGAATGCAAACTAGTATAATTGATAATCATAGATGGTATTATTCGCCGTGTAGAAGAGAGATGTTCTTATTTGGTATTCGATAGGTTTGTTTATATATTTATTTCGTTAAGAAAATTAGATCAGATCGCGTATCGTTGGCTTAAATTGTGCATAAATTTCTGTAATAAAATCGTTCCGCACAATCTTATTCGTACATTGCTAAATAAGTGTCAGTGCTCAATCGTTGACTTTGAATGGCAGAGAAAAGAGAGAACTGAAGAAAACAAAGCTATCTCTTTCATATGTATATATAAACAGACTTCCACAAGACAAAAAAAGGAAACGAATGCATTAAGAATAAAAGATAGAGTAAACACATAAAGTCCTT